TAGGATCGTTTTACAAAGTTTCATCGATATCGTGTTTGAACACGGTCATTCGAGTATCGTCCGTGGTTAATAACTAACGTCAATTAGGAGCGATGGTGATAGATAATTATTCCAATAACTGTCAAACGTTTAGAGGGTTCGATGAAGCACGCGTCGAACAGAGAAGCAATTAGAATCGATATTTACCGATATCCGCGTTTTCGGGACGTCTCTCCTCTTATTATTTCACTCGTCTCATTAAGAAATCCGCTTCCGTTGACGCGGTCTGCTCGATGGAAAGCGAGGATTAACGGGAACCAGAAACCGGCACGGAAATACGAGGGATGGCGGGAAATAAGAAAAAAAAAAAAAAAGAGAAGAAAAGGGTAGAGGAGGGAGAGGAGAAACGGGACGTTATTTCTGGGATCGGAAAACACAGAGTCCGCGTCTGGTCTGCTCCCGTGGAGCATCAGAAATATCGAGGCAGACTGTTTTTCGAGCATTGAAATTCTCACCGCGAACGGTAATTCTACCGGCGGAAAAGATAACGGGTTGAATCGAAGATTCACGGAAGTCGTCGGGAAGAATGGGACCAGGCGATAAATCGATTTCATGCTCGCGTTCCTCGCGATACGCTCGAGCGCGAATTAATCCGGTGAGCGTGATCGAACCTACACCGAAGAATCCTCGGGAAAACGCTCGAGAATCGTGAAACTCGACGCGGGAAGCCAACCGGCGCGATTAGCCGATTCTAATTCTCTCAATGAGATCTCGAGTCACAGTCGGAGTTTTGATTCCGATATTTGTTACCCTTTTCGAATCTTTATAAAGCGTGAAATGCGAGGCAAGCAGCAGAAAATTTCTTTCATATGAAAGCGTAAACGATCAATTAACGAGAGACAAGGAAACGATAACGAGTTTAGCTTTTCATTCGTTGCATTGATAAACGATATCGATAAATCAAAGGTATGAATGGTGGTTATCGCGAAAAGCAGACACACGGAATTTAACGCAACCTCTTATCGTATTTAATCATCCCGACGCGACGTCTGGTAACCGATTATCGCGAATCGACACCTGACAAATAATCGTTTCGTCACTCGTGTCAATGCGCTTGGAAAAAAAGTGTTGCATTTTAATCTGGATTCATCGTGAATTTAACCGAGTATGTACAGTGGGTGATCCACTCGCATAAATTGACGACTTTACATAAATATCATTAATTTTTAAATGAAAACCGAGTTAAACAGAGTTTTTATTATTTTTTTATGATGTATTGATGCTTGTAAAATTATGATACACGGTTGAAAAAAGTGAACGTTCTTGACTGGCCTGGAAATTCTCCTCAACCCCATCGAAAATTTGTGGAAATATTTATTATTAGTAATAAATGTCAATTGATTGAACGTTTGATAGAAGTACGGGCCGGAAATAAAGCAATCAAAATGAATTGCTTAAAATGCATCGAAAAAGTATGCCGAAAAGAATTGAGACAGTAATTGCAGCAAAAAGCGGCGTTACGAAATACTAACATACAGTAGCTCGGAAAAGTATTCGGACACTCTTTAAAACAGAATGCTTCATTTAAAATTGGACCAAATGACTTGAGGTTTTTTGAGAAATTATACAAATTTACTAAAATATGTGCTTTTGTCGTTTTCAAAAATTACAATTTGTTGAAATCGTGGAAGAAAATAGTGAAGGATAATCTTTCAACTTTTTTATGTGAACGGAACTAATCACGTTCTTAAATGAAAAGTTGCGATTTTCGGAAATTTTAATTACTTGTAACATCTAAGTGCATTGACATAACTTATTTGAATCTACGAAAGACATATTTTAAATTTTCATTATAGGCTCACATAAAAAAGTTGAAAAATTACCCTTCACTATTTTCTTTCACGATTTCAACAAATCGTAATTTTTTAAAACGACAAAAGCACATATCTTAGTAAATTAATTTGTATCACTTCTCAAAAACCTCAAGTCATTTGGTCCAATTTTAAATGAGGTATTCTGTTTTAAAGAGTGTCCGAATACTTTTCTGAGCCACTGTACATGTATAAATATAATCTTTCAAACGTATTTGTTTATTTTTATAAGTATTTTCTTGTATATTAGTAGCGGAGGATTATTGATTAAAAGTTACACAAACTTTTATTTCCGCACAAACACGAAAACCCCATTTTTCATACCGTGGCTCTAATAATTTCATCACCCACTGTAATTGGAGCTGACTTTTAAAGAGTAACCTAGCGTTGACATAGGTAAAATATCGAGCAGCTCGCACATCCGTCGTGAGTCATGCGTCAGATGCTCCTATCGGTCTGGTCGATGCCTCCCCTCCCTTTACAGCTATAATTACGAAGTTTAATTGACTAACGAGCACGGACGGGGATCGGCGAAGCAGTGCAGAAATGGAGCTCTGATTGGTCCATTCGCCAAGCCCGACTTACTTCATTCACGTTGCAATTAATTCGAAAGCGTCTAGCTGCTGGAGTGCGGTCGGTGTACAACGTTCCTCGTAGAAACTCCTCCAGCAACGAGTAAAGTAACGATACCCGGAGGATCGATATTTGATAGAGTCCCTTTACAATTCAAACAACCGATTAACCCGTGCTCGTCGCAGTAGCTGGTGGTCAGAAATCTTTGCTTCAACTTTCGATGGGACTTGGGGAAGAGATACAGCTTTGCGGTAGAGTCATTGAAAGTTTCGATAGAGTAAATTCAATTTTCCAATAATTTTCTTTCGTTTCGAGGTTCATCAACGGTGGGATCCGATCATCGACGATCTTTCCCGCGTTGATCGATCGTCGATGGATCGGTTCGGAGGATCATTGGACGAACCGGTTGTCGAAAGCAGTCGAATCTTCTCAGGCTTCGTGCGATATTTCCCCCGGGTCAGGCGTCCGAGGCTACGGGACACATGTGAAATCGGGATCAACGGCATGGGAACACAAACGGCAGATCCGCCTTCGCATATGCCTGCGAGGCTCACGCATGCCTGTATGCGTTCTACGCCGAATTAACGGCGACCTAATTGACCGTCGCTAATTCCCTCGTCCTCGACGCTTCTCCCTCTCTTTAGCCCTCGTAAACGTCGAGTTTCGCGATGAACATGGTTAACGCAGTCCAGCCTTTACAAATTCTTTTTCTATTCAACACGCTTGAAACTTTCGATTCGAAAGGATAATTACCCCGAATCGTCGACACGGGGAAATCGTTAAGCCGTTGAGCGATTTCGAGGTATGGAAAGTCTCAGGAAAGTTTCAGGAAAAATCATTTGTATTCGATTTGAACGTCGCGTCGTCGTTTAAATACTCTCACGATCCTGTCGATTGCATTTGGCGTTGTTTATGGAAACTCTTCCTTTCTAAGCATCGCGCGCTTAGTTCGATGTTAACATTGCATTGTCCACGATATGGCGTGGCGAGCGAGTTAATTATCGATCCATTTGTAAGCGTCGCAGGGTTCTGATTGCGTTTATCGAGATGCTAGGTGTGCTGTAACACGGAGTTAGACAGAGATGGGTGCCACACGCGTGGGTGAACCTAAACCCTGAACAAAGAGGATCTCTGACGAGTTTACTTCATCGCGTATTGTATGATTATCGACTCGTCGGAGTTTATTCGATTCGACCGCTTTAACAGATTTTCAATTCCTCTTGTAACAGCGGCAGGAAATGAACGACAAATCAAATGCCGTGACCATCGGATGGCCGGCTTTAAATCCGTTAGATAATCGGCTAGTAATTACGGGCTGAATTCGCGTGGAATCGATCAAATTAGAATTAAATGCGTTTGCGGATATGCAGCGTGGAATCAGCGTTCACCGAACGGGAACGCAATCGTGAAAAATATTTGATAGACCGACGAACCGGTCGTTATGGCTTTTCCAAACGGTACTCGATCGTTCGCTCTTTATTTCTAGTGTATACGATGATCGAAGAATAAGGAGGTTGTATCTTCGTCGAGAAAGAATGGAAATAACTAAAGAAGCTGTCGAGAAACCACGAACGTTTGCCAAAACAAACAGCAATTCGTTTATAACGGAGTCTTCGAGTCGTAAACGAGTGAAAAATGTAATATGGAGATTTGCGTGGGAGCAACAAAGCCACGAAACGGCAGAGGGATTTCCCAGCCGTATTACCCGAGAATCCACGTTATTTGAATTTAATTACGCGCCACAGGAGCCAACGTCGGTGCCGAAATCCTACGTATTTGCGATTCGACCACGCTGTCGGAATTTAATATTTCTCACGGTCCGATGCGTGTTACACGGACGTCCGCAAATAAACGACAACGCGGCTAATTCGTCTCCGCGTGTGCATATATAATTATCACCATTTATCACGCTGCTTTGACCGATTTGCGGGATACATAGACGGAAATTATTAATCTCGTGTCGCGCTCGCCGAGTCGAGTTCCGCTTAAGAAACGTTCGAGGTGTTTGCGTCAAGGGATACGGGTTAATCGTTTGGCCCACCGAATCGTCCCTACATTTGGCTAATCTTTTTGCGAGGCCGCCTTTTTTTCTCTCACGTTACCCTTGACGTCAATCTCCGTTCCCATAAACGGGGTGCACATGTGCCCGCGTTTCGTCGGTTCCGTCCGCGACATCGGCCCGACGATTTACCGTTCAAATCGAAATCCCACGATGGTCTTAGCGATCCTTTCTTCAAGGATCGATGATAACTTCGCGGACATAAATGAATATCAATGAGCCAGGGTGTACACGCGAAATGTTTCTTTGAGCTTTCCGTTCTTTCTTTGCCTTTCTAAACAGCGCCGAGCATCGCCGGCAGGCGAAACGCAAGCGTGAAACCGGTGAACGCGTTAGACAATAATTGCAGTTCATTTGATACCTACGCTCAAACTGCCCACGCTCGAGCGTGTATCCGACAGAATGACGAATCGCGAGCCAAGCCCTCTACCATTTACCTCTCCACCCGCTTCGAAACTCCCCCGACAATGTTACAGTTTGAACAATCGTAAGGATCCACCCCCTCGATTCTGTTGCAGGACCGTCACCAGATTTCAGCAGACACACGCTGATCAGACCACGAGTATATCACGGAAGGACCAAGCGGCAGATCTCGTCCAGCAAAGAAAACGTGAGTAATTTTCTCGATAGATAAGCTCCAAATACACTTGGTTCAATTTGTTTTCTCGATGGCAAAAGGGTAACTAGTTTAGCCGCGAACACGGTGATACCCGATTGCTTTAATATACCCGGTGTATAGCCGCGTGCATACAATCGACTTAGAATGCTGAACGGTAGCCGTCGACGGGTGCAACGATTTCGATGCAAATGCAAGGCGTCGCGACGCGCGCGCCGCGAATACGGAATCCAGGATCGCGACAGGTAGGTCGCGGTGAGTCGAGAGGTCGCGGGAGAAATTTTCTTCGATAACGTCGAACGTGTCTGAAAACTACTACTCCCGCCTGAAACTACATTGCAATTCCCTCTTTATTATACGCTCGTCGAAAGCAGATGTTCCAGAGAAGCGTTTTGTTAGCCGAGCTATTTATAAACCGATGAATCCTCTTAAACGCGGTATGCCGTTCAAAATAAAACAAACCAGACCAAGTATCGTTGCTTTTTTTCGGCATTTCTGACGCGAAACGACGCGAAGAAATTGGTTGAAAAATTGCAACTGAACAATGTTTAATCAAATACAGGGCTTAGGGAGCTCTAGAAACGGAACAGCTGCATTTCGTTGCTCGGAAGTCGATTTACATACATCTATCCTCTGGCCGGGTATAAATGGACCTCTAATCACAATGCCAATCACACGATCGCAACATCGACGCGCTAGAGAAGGCTCGATTGTGTAAGTAGTCTAGTTGTCTGCTCCTATCCACGTGCAAACGATTCGAAAGCACGTCGAGGTGAAACACGGTTCGAGGTTACGCGCGGCTGAAGGCAAACACAACCGATTCAAGCGAGGAGCAAAGTTTGACCGATGTTCTAGCGGAGGTACTTGCACGCGTGTTCACGGTACGATGATGTTTGCGAGCAGTTCAGTAACATTAGCATAGAGCGGAAGGATAAATAAATAGTGGCTCTGCCCGGACACCGTTAACTAGATTTCCGCTCGCTGAATTCTGCGATTTCTGCTGAAAACGGTTTCGCATTTTGATTATCGCGTTAATCGTATCTGGCTGACTCATCGATTTTATTACTCGATTACGAAGAATTTTATCGAGTACTCGGAGATATAGCAGTGTAAGATCTGTAAAAATTGAAGTCGTAGACCGTCCCTGACCACGTTGATCTATTTTCATCTGTCGTTTAACGTATCAAAGTGTTAACACGACCGTGAGTCTGCTCCTACTTGGCATCGTCTCGTTCCAAATACCTCGAAGAATAACCCGTCCAATCGACACGATTACGGGGAAAAGTTTTATCGGAAAGCATTAACCGCGTTCCCTTGCAACACCAAGAAATTCGAATTGGCTGAAATTCAATCCGAGGGGACGTGGATATTGAAAAGGAGCGAAAGATGCAATCGTTTCGTTGTTTAACGCGATGCAGAAGCGATCTAAGCACCGGGACCTGAACGAAGTAAAGGCAATTGACCTCGTTTCTCGTTATCACGGGGAAGAATGAACGCTATCAGCGCGTCTGTCCATGGCGACGAATCTAATTTCCTGCTATACGTAGGGTCGCTTACCGTGTGTCGCAACTCCCAGCTGATTTCTGTCTACAATTACTCGTAGACGAAAAACATCCCGCTCGAGCTTTATTCTATCAAACTCGACGATAAGGGTTATCGAGATGCTATCAAACGTTCGATTTTATCAATACTCCATATAAACAGAGAATAGCCAGTTCTTTTTTTTACCATGACACGTTTTCACACTCATCTATATCAATTTTTCCGAGTCATTGCCAAACCAGAAAGAAATTACATCGTTATCACAGTTGTACAACAAACGTATAACAATTTTTCATGAAAGATAGAAAACAAACGTTTGGACAAATGTTTATGGTTCGGTTTTATTGCGGGCAAATATTTGTTTCGCAAACAATTGTACGAGCAGTTTATAACAAGGAAAAACCGAAATTCCTGTTTTTCGACCACCGACAAACCGCATCTAAAAATTCCAGCAGCAATTCGGTTAACCGGCCGCAGGCTAAAAAGGAGTTAATTTATTTCTTTCCGGAGAGGAACAAAGGCGGAGCAAAGTGAAAAGAAAGTAAACCGCATCTATAGCCGATAAGCCGACCGAAAGGGGTATGCAGCCCAATAAACCGTGGTGGTTGTTCAGGCCCTGTTTATCCGCGCACGATCCAACTCGGAGATACTCGTCGAGGATAGTCTGGTGTAGGATGATGTAACAGAGTAGTGGTAAGGAAAGCAATGGGGAAAATAGAGGAGTGGAAAATCGAGGTAAAGAGATTGCGTTGTGCAGGGCTCGTTTTATCCGGCTCGCAAGTTTCCGGCCACAAAGGGAAACGGAGCAGTTGCTCTGTATCGTGGCGTACACATCCTGCATGGATGGAACGCGTTCCGCCTCGGAACGCTCGTATGTTCACGATGAGACGCGAGGAGGAAACGGCTCGGCGCGCGTTAAACGCGTCCAATTTAGACGAGCTACGATACAAGCGTGTAAAAGAACTGCTTTTCGAAACGCGATTATCAAACTCTTGGAAAAACGAGTACAAAGGAGATGGCTATCCCCAATACGTTAGTTGACCCCCATGGTCCCGGCAAATTCTTACCCCATGGAATCCATAGAATAGGCCGCCAAGATGATCTGTACCAAGTTTTATCCAAATCGATTAATGGAAACGTGGTCAAAATGGCGGCCAATGTTGACTCTTTTAACATGGAGCTTTATGGGGAGTCGTCGAAATAGTGCTTTCGGCATCCTAGTTTCCGGTTATGTTAAACTAGACGATAATACCTTTCAAATGAGCCAACGAGCATCAAAATCGTCAAACGGGAACTTGGTCAAAACCTGTTGTGAAAATCCGCTGAGTAGTTTGGTCAGAAATCGACTTTGAAGATTTTCTTCATTTTTTCACGACGGGTTTTGACCAATTTCCCGTTTGACGATTTTCATGCTTATGGGCTCATTTGAAAGGTATTATTGTCTAGTTTAACATATCCGGAAACTAGGATGCCGAAAGCACTAGGATTTCAACCACTCCCACACCATGTTCTTATTAATCGATTTGGATAAAACTTGGTACAGATCATCTTGGCGGTCTATTCTATGGATTCCATGGGGTAAAAATTTGCCGGGACCATGGGGGTCAACTAACGTATTGGGGATAGCCATCTCCTTTATCCTCTTTTCATAACTTCTACGTCTGTTAAACTTCGACTCGCCTAGTTTCTATCGTTCCTCCCTGTTCGCGGATCGCGTTAATCGTTTCCAGAAGCGAGAGACGGTTTGTATGCTGATATTAGAGGCGTCTCTAGGACACGAAAAACGGCGCGGTGTTTGCTTCTAGCATCTCGTACTATAGTCGAGCTAGAACCGAGTTAAGATTAAAAGATGCCTTTCATCCTATCCACCGGCCACAAAGAGCCTCTCTGTACGTTGCGTACATTGTGCCTCGCTCACCGCGAGCTCGTTAACCGCACGAATTTCCAAGAAAACCCGTCACTTCGAATAATTAACGGATCCCTTGCGTGGCTTATCGCCGTAACAATTAGCGCCAACCACCGACCGCGATTCGTTCGATACCAATGTACGTCATTCTATTTTCCTCTCACCTACCAGATCGTTTAACCAATCTCCCGACCACGGACAAATCTCACCACGGCGACCGTGAACGCTCAGGTGCAGTTCGTTGCAAAATTAACGCGATGAATCGATGAGTTGTGGGTAGTGGGCGAGTACTTGATTTATTCGAGTACTCGAATTTCGAGTCAAACAATTCGATCGGTCGGTCGCGCCAAGCCGAGCGCTTGAATTTGCCGAATTACTTGAAATCGACGAACTGTTTGAAACAAAAGCGAATGTTCGAGCTGAAAATTCATCTTCAAGTAAATCGAAGTTTTACGACGGCTCGAATACTGGAGTAGCTCGCTTTTGTTTCAAACAGTTCGTCGAATTCTAGTAATTCGGCAAAATTCAAGCGCTCGGCTGGAACAATCAAAGCGAGTTCAGCTCGGCTTGTAAATTACGAGTACTCGGCACACCTTTAGTTATGGGATGCTAGATGATTTAGTGGTATCAAGCACGCGTTGACCGACGTCATCAACTTAATATCAATAATAGCCTGGCTGCTCGCCGTGATTAGTTTATTTTCAATCACTTTGCGTATACACGATGCTGTTTTCCTCGGCTGGTGGATTTCAGATATTTCAACCACGCGAAGGGGATGCGGCCAGGATCGAGGATAGATGGATCCAGGGATTCTATCATCGTCGTCGGACAGTCAGCAATCGAAATCTGGCCGGCTGCCAATCCAGGAAACGTTTCTCGATATTCCAGTTGCCGTTACACCGTGACCCGCGTTCATTCCGTGTCGATATCCAGAGAAACAAATGTATCCATGGGTCAGGGTTTCTCCTTGCTCCGTTTCAACAAACGAATCATAGAGGAATACCTGACAATACCCGAATCGATTGTTCTCCCGTTGTTTCGACAACGTTGAATCGCCACTACGTGCACGCAATTTATCAAAATCTTTTCCCTGCTCTTTCACGTCGATCGAAGGGTTTCCTCCGGAATTCGGATAATCGGGTGAGAAAATTCCTTCTCTATGGGGCAAATGAACCAGGAGCCTGTTAAAACGGTCGATCTCCGCGAAACTCCCATAAAAGTCATTCTACTGTCCCATTTTCTGCGCCCATCACACCATTTTCACGAACCACCCTCTTTCCGCGGAACTGTGTTTCTCTGTGTTGTCTTTGCTGATAGTTTATGTTTTGCACAGGGTCGGCCCTGGGCCTAGGCAGGCTAGGCGACCGCCTAGGGCTCCCCAAAATCGATGTAAATGCAAATCTAAATTAGTTATACAAGCTTTAACGTTAATTTTATAAATTTTATTTTATGTGGAGGGGCCCTTTTTCGGAGCTCGCCTCTGACCCCCGAGTCCTGGTTTTGCGATGAACGAGTAGAGAACACGATAGCTTTTCGAAAGAACTCCTATTTGCGTTTTTCACTGTACATTTCTTTTCTTTTTCGAAGTCGTAAGCATCTCCGTGCAAAATCCTGTGGATTAGGTTTTTCGACCCTCTACTTCCATCCCTTAGGCGAAGGGAGAGGTTCGTTCCTTGGATACAGTCGGTAGCTACGCGGGTGTTTCCAGTTTGGGGAGGAATGGACGAACGGGACGTGTATCCTCTATGAATTAAACATAGGGTGGGTTCGAGGGAGCGTGGGAGGTCGCGCAAACGAGATTCGTAAATTCATTTGGCTGGTCGGCACGCGCTCGTTGAAAAAAAAAAAAAAGAAAATAAAGTTCCAGATTCCCTCGAACGGAGGGAATATAAATTTTATAAACGGTCGACTTTCCGGCTCCGCGATCGACGCCCCGCTGCAGCGAAACGGTCGAGCGAGTTCGCGTGGAAAAATGCAGGCTGAAAATTCGATTAATTTCGATGCGACTCGAAAGCGTACCCGATCTCCCTTCTCGAAATAATTAGAAAGCGAAGCAACACAAACGAGCCGTGAATAATTGCCTCCGTATCATCGAGTCGTTAGCTGTGAAAGTATTTTCCAGCTACGTAAGTCGATTCCGATTTTCCTACCACCTTTATCAACCTTCCTCTTCCTTTATCTTGATCTTGGAGATTTTCCGCCAACCCAGAGCGCAACAGGTGCATAATGCCGAGTTTCGATTACAATGCATTCGGATATACCAATTTCGAATACAAGATGTACCGCAACATTTTCTCACTTAAACTAATTTCTCGTTGTCGTTTCGTTTTCAGGACGTGGAGCACGCGGATGTATTGACGGTGGGCTTCGAGCTGGACGGGGTGAAACGCATCCTGGATCTCAGGCTGAACACCGATCTCATCCCGGTCGGATACCAGCAACGTCATCAGCATCGCGGCACCTACAAAGAGCACCTCCCGTCGAAAAATGTGAGTGCTTATCCTGGCTAATGGGTAAATGTGTGCGTAGCGTAGGTGGAAATTCTTTGTACACGTTGTCCAGGTATATAGGCGCAAAGAACGCGAGAATCGATCACGGTGACTCAGTGTCCGACCGTGCGTTCCCAGGACGAGCGTGTATAAACGGACGTGGACGTTTCGAGAGTATCGATCACTCTTAAATAAAGTTTACCGGTAGCGTGTACAGCAAACCCTAGACCGAGCATTGGTTACGCTTCACCTTTGGTTAACCGTTCCCCGTTTTCGGTCAACTTTCCGGACGGAAAATCGTTTTTTACTGAAAAATCGCGTTTGCGTTTAGAGGCGATGGAGAATCATCCCTTATCGCATATTTGCCGCTCCTCTGGAAGAATCCGAGAAAACACGAGGATCCGAGTGTTAAAATAAAAGTCTTCCTTTCTTCGACGCGAAGTTTTATTTGGAACAGAATGTATTAATAAGAACAGGTGTAATTAATAACTGAGCTTTCTACGGTCTGCACATACGTCATTCACGGAAAAAAGAAAATGAAATTACGCTCGGATTACGTTTTCTCCACAGAATTTTCCGTTCCTTTCATTTCGCAACAATTCATATTTTTCACGAATCTCCCGCGTTCCCGTGAATCACGCGAGAAGAATAACAAGCTTTCCATGGGGCGAGAGGAGAAAGAAAGAAAAATAGCCGTCGAGAGCTGTTTTTTTTTTTTTAACGATTCAAACACCAGCCATTGATATAAATTTTTGCGAGCCGTGTTATTTACGGTTAATGGGCAGGCATAAAACATCGTCAGGACGTGTTTTCATCGAGCCCGGGACCGGGGAGGGCGGGTTCGTTGCGCTCTGTTGTCGTCGGTTCCACATTTTACGCAATTGAATAAATGAATTGGCGCGTCCAGTTGCAATATCTTTCTCTTTCTCGGCGCAGTTTATCCGGTCCCTCGGTGTCGAGCGGACGAGCTAATTTTGGTCGTTTAAACGAGGGAAATTCTGCGAATCTAACTAGTTAGAATACTACCCGGAGCTTTCACAGTCGAAATTAAAGTAATTATTACCATTTGTTCTCTTCTGTCTGGCTTTCTCTCTCTCTCCTCCGCTGGTCCTGCTGAAAGAAACTTTCGTCAAATTTCATTTCCTTTGGTCGGCGCTTTTTGTTTTTGTTCGAAATTTATATATACATCAGAGCGTCCAGACTGTTGTACGATAGGATAGTTGTTAGAGGTGTGCGAGTACTCGAATTTCGAGTCAAAGAATGATCGGTCGGTTTGAATTTGCCGAATTTATCGAAATCGACGAATTGTTTGAAACAAAAGCGAGCCACTCGGAAAAATCGAACTACTCGAATATTCGAACTGAAAATTCATCTTCAAGTAAATCGAAGTTTTCCGAGGGTTCGAATATTCGAGTAGTTCGATTTATTCGAGTACATACTCGAATTTCGGGGGAAACAATGATCGGTCGGTCGAGCTGAGCCGAGCGCTTGAATTTGCCGAATTATTCGAAATCGACGAACTGTTTGAAACAAAAGCAAGCTACTCGGAAAAATCGAACTACTCGAATATTCGAGTAGCTCACTTTTGTTTCAAACGGTTCGTCAATTTCGAGTAATTCGGCAAATTCGATCGCTCGGCTCGGCTCGAACAATCGAACCGAGTTGTAAATTACGAGTACTCGCACACCTCTAATAGTTGTGTTATAAATGATAATTTATAGCCCGAAGGAAAGTTAACGGGGAAAGCGTTGAAAGAAGTTGCGCAAAAGGTCGCATCACGGGGATAATCGTGCGATAAATCGGTTTTCTCGCGTTTTTCGATGACGTTTGCATTTCGAAACGGCGCGGATCCTTATTCGGGAGAAAGGAGCAAAAGGAAGTCGAAAAGGCGACTGGCTGGCCTGGCCCAGCTGAATCTGGGCCAACTATATTTGTAGCGGGTCGAATGCACGAGCGAACGGTGCTACGCGTCTCGAGAATCCAGGATAAGTCGTGGAAAATTCATTCTCGGATTTCGTCTCCACTCGAGACGAGAATCTTTCTTAGTCATCGTTTATTTCTCGCCTCGTTAAAATATATTACACCCTGGAGGTATAACAGAGACCACAAACTTGCGTTGGAATTCATTTTTGAAACTGTAAAAAGAAGAGCGTTTCGCAATTTCTAGGAACTCTGCCACTATCAAGGTAGCGTTCGAGACGTTCCTGGCTCCTGGGTAGCATTATCTACCTGCAGAGGATTGCGCGGTGTTGTTTTCGACGGCGAGAACCTTCACCACATTCACCCGGAGAAGGAATCCTTGGATTCGAACCATTACGTCTACAAGCACAACGATCTCGTCGCCAATCACACCTGCGGTAATTATCCCTCTACGCATTGATTAGAAATCTTGAAAGTAATTCCATAGTAATTGTAAGAATTTCCAATTTCTGGATTGTAAATCCCAAAGTAAAATCTCGAAAAGGGCTATCCTCCATCTGGAGGATTCCCAGGAGTAAAATTTCCGATCCTCGTGTCATCGAGGCTTATCGATGAACTGGATCTGATCGATAGCCAACGTAACATCCATCTGCAAGGTTATCGCGCTTCCTAGCGAGATAGGGGAGATCCCATGAAAGGAACCGGTTCGTTTCCAGTGCTGTGTTACCCTTGTCCCTTGTAACGCACGCATCGCTCCTTTCCTGGACTGGAAGACCTGTCTCCCGGACACTGGTCTCTCCTTAACGGTCTTAACGAATGTGGGAGCAAGATTCTGCTAGCTCCCTCGACTCTTTGTCCTTAAGTTTACCGAGAATCCGAGCGACGCGACGCGACGATCATCTTGGCTGTTTTTTGTTCGGCACAGGTTACGAAGGAACGGCGCACCATGTTACCGACCATGAACACCGCAAGATCGTCAACAGAGCTACCAGGGTAGGAACCAATCGATTGTTTTTCCCTCGCTACGAAGCTTCGATAGAGAAGCTTTACATTCTCAAATACACTAGTAGACCTTTCGATATTCTGGTTTAGACTAGCAATTGGAAAGAGGCTTTTCTTACAGCACAAAAGAGCGACCGAGGTGATTCGAGGACCCTACAACGCGAACAGACATTCCAGATACGTGGAGTTGGTGCTGGTGATCGATAAGAAGGAGTACATTGCTCTCGACGAGAACCTGGACAAGGTGTATCAACACTGCAAGGACATTGCAAACATCATCAATGCTGTTAGTATATCCTCTTTGACCCTCGGGCCAATCCTGACCCAACCTCTGTAAAACGGTGTATTCGAGATACGAGATGATGATTGAATTTTATAAACGATTCACATTCGAGATGCGAAGTTCAACGATGCTTGGACGATCACGCGGTCAGGTGTTTTTGAATAAAAAACGTTCGTATATTGGAAAGATGCATAGTATCAAAGGGTCAGACCTTGCGAAGAGTTAACGCGTTAAATGCAATGAGATTTTTATGAAAATCTATCGCGTTTCAGTTGTACATGCCGCTGAACATATTCATCGCCCTGGTCGGTGTTCAAGTTTGGACTGACACGGACGAGATCACTCTGTCTACAAACGGGGACACCACCCTCTCGAATTTCCTTCGTTACAGGAGAGAGAAGCTAGTCCAAGACATGCCGAACGACAACGCCCAACTGTTAACGTAAGTAGAAGAGCGATGGAAATCCCGTGTCATCGCGAGCTGATATCGCGCCAGAGCTGCACTTTACTTTTGCCGATTGTTCAGCGAGAATGTTTGAAACTCGTAGGCGAATCACCTTCGGCGGAGGCGTGGTAGGAAAAGCGCTTAAGGGACCAATATGTACGTACGAATTTTCCGGTGGGGTCTCGATGGATCACTCGAACGTCGTTGGATTAGTGGCGGCCACCGTGGCTCATGAAATGGGTCACAATTTCGGGATGGAACACGATTCCGCCGATTGCGAATGCCCTGAAGAGAAGTAAGTTCCTTTTATCCTCAACGAACACATTTTGTAAATAAAACTCCTCGTACGGTAGAGTGTCGTAACTGAACTTCGAATGAAGTAACGCCGCCGCCCTTTGATCCCACGGTCCTTTGTGAAACAGATTCGTCAATTTGTGCGCGGAGGGCGTGATTGCGATTATCGTCGTTTCGTCGCGGTCGTAGTAACGGCTATCGTCCTCTAAACACGCTCGATTGCATCCGATTACAGATGCATCATGGCATCGTCGAGCGGCTCCTCGGGACCGACACACTGGTCGACGTGTTCCCTGGAACATCTAGCGTTGGCCTTCGAACACGGCATGGATTACTGTCTGAGGAACAAACCGCCGAAGCTTTTCGACAGTCCAATTTGCGGCAACGGATTCGTCGAACCAGGGGAACAATGCGACTGTGGCTTGAAGGAGAATTGCGACAATCCTTGTTGCAACGTAACCACCTGCATGTTGCACAGCAACGCTAGCTGCGCTACCGGAGAGTGTTGCGATCTGAAGACCTGTCGACCGAAGAGCGCTGGCACCGAATGCAGAAGCGCGGAACACGAATGCGATTTGCCGGAGTATTGCACCGGACAGAGCGAATACTGTCCGGTGGACGTGTTCAAGATGGACGGGGAATCGTGCAGTATGGGAAAAGCTTTCTGCTACCAAGGCTCGTGCAGGACGCACAACGATCAGTGCAAATTACTCTGGGGTCCTACGGGTTCGTCGTCCGACGCCCAGTGCTACGACATGAACAACAGGGGCACGAAACATGGGAACTGCGGCTACAACAGGGTCGCATCCAGCTACGTCAGGTGCACCGACGAGTAAGATTCGATCTTCTTCTTCTCTGTTTCATGTTCTCTTAGATAATGTAAAGTATGGGGTGTATTTTTGATTGGGTTTTAGGAATCTTCTTTGCGGGATGCTTCACTGCAAACACCTGAACGAGAGGCTAGAGTTCGGTATGGAATCCGTGGCGATACTAAGTCACTCGTTCATCAACAACGGGGGGAAGATTATACCCTGTCGCTCGGCTATCGTGGATCTGGGATTGAATCAGGTAGACCCTGGTCTTGCTCCAGACGGCGCCAAGTGTGCACCTGGGAAGGTAATAAATGATTCCAGGATGAGAACGAAATGATTTCTACTTCGAGACCTTGTATAATGCAATCTACGCTCGGAAGGTAACGGTGAAAGCTTTGGGTAATTTGATAAATTTCTCTAATTTAGATGTGCGTCAATCAGAAGTGCATGACGGTTGCCGATCTACGCGCATCCGTGTCCGGAGGGAAAGCGTGTCCCAATAATTGCGGAGGCAACGGTGTATGCAACAGTTTGGGACACTGTCACTGCAGTCGTGGCTTCCGGCCGCCCGATTGCACTCAACCTGGCGTCGGTGGTTCCGAGGACAGCGGTCCAGCCGAGGATCCAAATGGTACATTTGATTTCGTTCGAATCGCTTCTAAATCGTTGACGATAATTTTAAGCAATCTTTTAACATGATCAATTCTCGGTCACGTTCGTGTGTTACAGCGAGAAACGACTTTATAATGGCTCTGTACATTATCTTCTTGGGCATAGTACCGATGATTGCCCTGTCCTCGTTCGGCGTTTGGTACGTGAGAAACCCTGGCCAACACTGGAAAAAAGGAATGATGTCAACGTACGTATCTAGTCTCGATCGCGTTAAAGAGACACATAAACCGCATGCTTTTGCGTCGCGCGGTGCTCGCAGCGTAAACTCGGGTCACATGATCGGTAAAAACTTTTACGGGAGAGTAGCGATATTCTTCTCGCCCCGGCAAGAGAACTCTTCTAACACCGGCCGAATATTCACGATCAGCCAGAATCGGCCGGACAAAGAGAAGCTTCAGATAACTAAAACCGATCTGATATCGACCACTAACCCAGACGCTATTAACTGCAGCAACAGCATCGCTTACAGAAAGTCGATGTTGCTTGCAAATATGGATCAGAGGAATAACGATAAAACCTCACCCGAGAGCTCGGATTGCGTACGTTTAGCCGTTTCGTCGTCGTCGCTAGAGTCTCAAACGAGGAAAAATACGGTTAGGTCGGAATTGGGCTCGAAAATAGCCGAGTGTATTCAACAGATGCAGAAAAAGCCCTCTAAGAATAACGAGGGGCTGACGTCTAAAATGGTGACGAAGTTCGAACATCTGAACGAAAGTCCTAGCAGCAGTTCTGCCGTTACGCCAGAGACAGGTGAACCCTTGTTAGCCGACGAGAAGCCGTTCACCAAGGCACCTGCTCCTTATTATAACAAAAAACCACCCCCTCCACCGGCCCCGGCTCAAAGTTTAAAGCCAAAGATCTAATCTGATACTTTTTCCTCTGTTTTGTTTTTTATTATTTTTATTTCTTTTTAATCTCCTCTTATTTTAATATACTACTTTTTTCTAGTGCGAACGTCGTAGCAAAGAGCTTCGTGTTATCGTAGCTACGACCTTTGCATTATCACGTACAGGGTTGACGATAACGGTGATGGTTAACCCAGTCGAATCCTTATAATTGCCAAAACGAACTCGTATATAGTGTACGCTGTGATTTTTATCATCGTAATAAGTCTAATTAACGAATACTCCAACGCAGGGCTTTTTCTCATAGAGAATACACGAACCAATGTACTTAAGATTAAGTGTTTAAAAGAAATATCTTCGGGCACCGCGCAACTCGTATGGAAAAATACTTCACTCCTATCGTAGTGTACGTTCCAAACGATATTTCAACTAGATATATTTTTACAAGTAATCGGAGGAAAAAAAATATATTACTTTATGTGTATAACGTGTACGTCAATTTCGCGACTAGCTGATTTATTTATTCATTTATTATTATTATTATTACTATTATTATTATTACGTTACTAGTATCGTTTCATGCTCAATTTATACGATAGACACATGTATATTGACGTGATATCATTAGAACATTATAGATACTTTTACACCGTATAACAGTACCAAAAAATGGGTGATAATGAAATATAAGAAAATGCTTCTCTGTCAGCTCGAAAAGCTTGAAAGTCATGTTTCAAGAGACGATGAAGAAGCATAAACGTAGAGCATGCATAGAAGTTGTGACACGAGCATGAGCATGCGTGAGTTTCTTTTCTATGGCTTTTGCATTTTTAAGATCACTGAAACGTCTATCTTAATGACTAAGTCGATGAGTCAGAATTAAAGATCAGTCTATAATCGGAACGATTCTCGATGAAAACATAAACAAGAGTCAACGTTTGATTATCTCATTTTTTTTTTTTTAGTGTCAATGAATATTTTCAATATTTTATCATTGAAACAGCTGACACTTGAACGGATAAGTTGTAAAAGTTTATTCAATAAAAGTAGCATTTTATACAAAGTGTACACAGTTTTCTTATGCAATCAAGATCTTCCTTCTTCCAGAAACGCTTGCTACTAACACTTTAATCTTTGACTAACAATCCCCAGCAAATTTATCGCGTGTTTGCATGCGTTTTTTTTTTTTTTTTTTTTTTTTGGTGGCTCGTTTGACCAGCACACGTTTGGTTCTTTGCAACTGCATGTGTCGGTGGTGTTTGAAGAATAAAAAGAAAAAGAGTGGAAGAACGTAGCCTGCTTGCGACACCTCGATTCCTTGGCTTACACTTGTGCTTAAAATTTCAGGACCGATCGCGGCCACAACGGACTATCCATCAAAACGATCGATCGTTCCAGTCCTTTGCCTCGTAGCATCGAAACGATCGATTCTAGGCTGAGCCAAGATCCAGCGTGCGCGAGCTTGTTGCCGAAAGCCCAACCGGACAAGCCTTACAACAATAACCTGTTCGGCCAGTTCAAAGGCTTCACGATCACACCGATCAAGAGTCAAACGAAACCACCTGAGCCGAATAAACCGGCACCACCTCCGCCTACGATCCCAACCGTAGCCATCAAAACCAACATCAAGACTATCCCGAAGAATAATCCGTCGAGAAGCTCTTTATTGAACACGACGTCTAGCTTCAACGATGCATCCGTTGCACCAACTCTGCCGCCTTTGAATCCAGGCTGCACCGCCCGTCCTCTGATCAGTAGTCCGGTGCTGGCAGCGACAACCTGCACCTCCGTGGAGTTAGTGTCTCCCAAGACCTCCACTAGACCTCCTGATGGACCCACCAGGCCAGCTCCGGCTCCTCCTCTTTCCAACGATATCCAAAAACCTCCCAGACCCAACAGTACACCCTTGACAAACGTCCTGGTGCCTGAACCCGTCGAAAAGAAAGCCGACAAGAGCGGTACCCTGAACAGATTAGCCAACATGCTTCGACCAAACTCTGGTATCATAAAGGTGGGACTGCAAGCGTCCCAAAAAGACGAGAAGAACACTAATTCTTTACCTAGAACGCAGCACCTTAAAGCGAACAAGGTGATCGATAAAGAAATCTTAAGGAACTTGGAGATCTCCAACCCTATCCCTCAGAAGGAGATCGAGATACCCACACCAGCCATCTCCGTGATCCCTGCCACTGATGTGGATAAGAAAAACGTGGTGCTACGGGCTCAGTCGATGAGGGACAACAAGGTCACACCAAGACCAACGATCCAAACCTTTGGATCCATGAGACAGACGACACCGGTCAAGAGACCAACGAGTATTCCAGCTAGTACCAGACCCACTGCTCCACCTCCAGGACCTCCTACATCCACGGCCACCACCACGGACAAGATCAACGAGACAGGGAAGATTCCTGGTCTACCCGGTTACCAAACTCCGCAAGTGAAGAATATGCAAAAGGTAGTGGACAATGCTTACGACGACTGCATGAATCTCGTCTCTGACTCGTCTTTGACTAAGATCACCGAAGAATCGCCAACGAACGATAATATTTACGCTGTCATAGAGGAGGCTGTTCCCGAGAAGAATCGAAAGAATCCGGAATTGGAGAAGAAGCAGGTCGACAACGAGTACAAACAACCGAAACGCGTGGAGACAACGTCCAACTCTGCTGGATTAGAGTCGATGGGTCTGTTGTCGGAGATCGTATCGGAGATATCGAATCGAAACTTTGATTCCATATACTCGACCGCCACACTGAAGAAGGGACAGGAGGCTGAGAATTCGAAGAACATGGAAGACTTGGGCTCCAACAGTTCCCTAGGCGCTTACGTGAACTCGAACCACTACAAATCACCGGGCAGCATTTATTCGAATTCTACCTCCGGCAAGTTCAACTCCTCCAGTTCGACGACCAGTTCGGGCTACTTGAATCCTTCGGCGTTGAACGTGCCCCAGCAACAGTCGAACAAAGTCGTGCCAGACGCGAAAACGTTGAACAAAAATAAACCAGTGTCTCTGAGTTCGACGAACCCGAATTTGAACGACGATATATCGAAAGAGCTGGGTATGAAACCGGCGGAAGAGGTCGTACACCGTAAGCCACTCGCTCCTCTGAAAACTCGAGGCATTCAACGTGCATCGACGAACTCGAAGAGCGAGGAGGACACGGTCGACGGTAAGGAACAACCGTTGAAACCACCTCTTGGAAGAACAAAAACCCCACCGAACATCAGAACGTCGAAAGATAGCAGGCAAAGCGTGGACACCGCATCAAAGTCTAAACAGGGAACTAAACAGAGTTCAAACTTGGATACAGTGAGCCAAGATTCAGAGACTAAAAGTAATAAAAACAGCACCGGTAGCTTGGATAAGGATTCTCACAATAAATTATCCATGAAAACTGTGCCTTGTAGTCCTAAGGATAACGGGGGAAGGTTGAACAGCCCTGATTTAGTGTCTAGTTGTTCGAATTCCAACCAAAACAGTACAAAATCACCGGATGTTCTTGGAAACAATCCAAAGCTAAGTTTACAGCCGAAGAATGTTCAAAAAACGCCGACGCTTCCTCGAGGAAACGCCAAGGCAACGTCCACGCCGCCGAAGCCGTCGAACGTTGCCTCCAAGGGTACCGGTCCCCCTTTGGAGAAGAAGAAACCGTTTTCGGTCGGTGGTAACGTTAACGTCACCAAATCTTTATCAACGACCGCGAAGGATGCAACGACGAAGAGCGCGTTGTCGAAATCGAATCAGAAAACGGAAACGAAGACCGGAGATTTAGGAACGAAGACGAACGCGGTGCAAAGGGCAGCTAGCAGCAAATCGAACGTGGCATCTCTGCAGCAAAAATTCGAGGCCAACAGAAACGTGAACGCGTCGAGGACGATACCGAGTGTACACAAAAAGACTGTCGGGAAGACGACGGAAACTGCTGGTGTTAAAAAGTGACTGACACGTGTGGAACAACTAGACAAAGGGAGGATCTACTTGAAATATTCTAGTCTACTGGTCGTTTAAATGGGGACGCGCGAGATTTCTTCTATGAATTTTATTTTATTGCATTGACACCCCTCGATGGACGGAATTGGATTTTAAATCATGGATTTCAATTGACTTTGACTGTTTCTTCGGATGAGATACTTGACGCGTTGACTGTCATCGATGTTAGATCAGTGTCACGAATTTCATTTATTCGTATAAAGAAAGGAAGACTATTCCGAATATCACTAATACTACACCAGTAATTCGAAGCATAGTAAATTGAAGCGTTAGATTGAAAAATTCAGTTTAGGTATGGCAGTCAATGATTTAACCCTTTCGTTATCGAACCACGACAGGATACAGGTATCTTCTGGAAGCATTGAAATAAATATTACTCGTCAAGCTTCCAAGAGATCAATTTTCGATTATCGCACGGCACAGAGAAAGGGTTAAAGATTATGCAAAAGAGGACAGTCACGATAGTACAATGATCAATTCGCTATGGGTTACATCGAGCGAATGAGATAATTGTTTGAAAAAAAGTACGCGAACGTAACTCGTATTTACTATCAGAATTACTGAAGCTAGGTTGTATTACGGTCAAATATTACCACCGTGTGTAAATAGTAGTTACTTAAAAATATATAATACGAATATTTTTTGTAGAGATCATCCATTACCACGTAACGTACCAGGAAACGTTCAGAAACGTCAGACTATTTCTCTTACGAGGACTTTTTTTGTAAAATGAGATGACGGGACGAGCAGCAGTTATTTTCAAAGGTTTCGCTCGAAATTTCTTAAACTCTGTGATATAACGTGTAACGAAAGGTGTGTGACACAGACACGTCGTACGTTATTGTAAGTAGCCGAGTATAGACGCGACCAAATCTATCCATTTTATATCATATCTTCATGAAAGAAAACAAGAACGAAAAGAAAAAAAAAAAGAAAGGATACTAAACGAACTCTTAAAAGTAATAACACTTTCCAAAGACTATGCGTGTCACAGTTCACACTTGTTTCTTTCCGATGAGTGCGATCGTACGAGTACCATTGTGATTCAGAACCGAATCAAAATTCAGAGAGCGCGATTAAGTTTAAGAGAGCTTAAGCATATCTACTGTAGTATTCGTTAGAGTCTGCAAGAAAAATGCAATACGTTCCGTTCGAGACGGGGAATTTCTTCTGCGATAAAAATACGCTCGAATTAAAACGTTAAGAGATATTTTTGCTTAAACCACGCAAACCTTTACTTTCATCATTATTAGCGGCGTAGACACGCGTAACACCTAACAGAAGGAAGAAGAAGAAGAAAAATAATAAAAATAAAAGAGAAATATTTATTTGACTGAGCGATGTAAATATGTTTATAACGTTATAGATGTAAGTAACATTTTTGTACAATGTACCTCTTCGTGCTCGCTAAGTGATCGTTCGCGAAACCACGTTGTTTAGCTTCTTTTAAAAAACGGTGTCTCGTTCGATCTATCTTTAAACGTGTAAAATTCGCCTGTACCAAAACAAAGAAGAAGAAGAAAATAATGGAAAAACGAAAAGTTTTTATTGAACGGTACAGTTGTAGGGTAATATTTTATGCATTTATTATTTTAACGAAGCGATCTTTCGTGATGTGCATTTCTCGTATACGCTTGTTCGCGATAATATTTTTTCATTTATATTATAGTTCCTATATTGTATATACAGACGCAAACGTTTCGATTTGTTGAAGCTTTCTCAGAGGCCGCAACGTTAAGTTCAATAAAGCTTTTCGAATAACTTAACCCCGTTGATCGCGTATCGTTTTATAGTAATCGTAGTTATTCCGCTTCCATTTTCTTTCCACGCGACGACGACGTTGTACGTGTCGTCCTCGGTGTAAAGACAATCAGACATTTTTCAAAATAAGATGCGCTTTTGAAGAAAGCCTTGGCCGTTAACCGAGCAATATAAATTTCATTCATTTTTAGTATTTTACAGTTGTGTTAAGTCACAGTGTGACTATCAATCATGGTTACATTATACGTTCAATACCAAAGATAAATTATATTTTATGAATTAACCCTTTCATGACTACAAACTGCATAGATCGTGGACTAAGGACCCAATATGTTTATCTGGGTGAAATATGTATACGTATAGTGATTTACTGTTTAATTGGTTAATTGTAATAATAATTTTTTTAAGCATTTAGTCCGCAGCGTCTGCATACCACGAATTGTATTTAAGGTTGAGAGGGTTAAAGGGCCAAGATATACGCCACCGTTAACTTAACACTTAAACGTTGCCCCGTAACTTGTACATTTCCCAATGCATTAGTAACATAACAATAAATTCTTTATTCCACGCAGGCTTTTTTTCATAATTCATTGACACTATGATCGAGAGAAAAGGTAGGTGAATAAATTCCGACTTTTGGGTACAGTGGAACGAGATATCAAAAGGAAGAATCTATTGTCTAAAGTTGATTGATTAAAATTTCAGGATTCCTGATGTCTTATAAGCTCTGAAAAGTCTTGCAGTATTAGCGGGAAAATGAGTATTTAAATTACGAAATAAATCGATGGTTTGAGCTAGACTAAGACTGTAATATACGTTAAAGGATAGTAGGTGCCAAGAGCTTAATCAAAAAGTATGCATCAAGTGGGAGAAGCCTTCCCCTTATGCCATTCCCCTCCAATGGGACTCGCTTAAGCAAACCATAGCCTGCGAAGAATAAAACTGATACGTTTGATATTACAGTATTATAAACACCATTGAATTGTGCTCTATTCTCTGTTAGTACGCACCTTTCGTGCGTAAGTTTTTCACAAACAAAAAAGAGATTCACATTCTTTCAAGAGAAACTTAATTTTCGTGTACGAAGTACATATTTGATTTAATGTGATTATAAGTTGCGTGAATGCTTGTTGAATAATACGTTTATTGATCCTAATTAGTAATAATAATACACGAAAGCTGTGAGCATTTCGTTGCCAAATGTTGCTAAACCACCCTAAACACTGTGTACCCAACAATGTGAGGGAGTACTATTGCGATTTGTCAAAGAACCGATAACCTAACAGTTATTTGAAGCATTGGGAATAGTTTCACATAACATTTTATAGATGAAATCATAAGAGATTCTAACGTTTAATAATTTCGTTTAATGACATTGCTATCGTAAAGAATTAGTGCCCGCATTATGGTGTAATCAAGTGTAACATCACGATTCGTAATTATGTCGCATTGTTGCACGACAACAAGAAAAAAATATTCATTGTGATTTACAAATTATCTGAATTTTATATTTTTATATGGTGAAAATGGCCCATGCTCCATTACCAAAGCTTATCTGTGAACCAGTAAATACACTTAAGATGTGCCCCACGGATTTTACTACGTCAACCGCTTTGTCCGATGTGAGTTTGACGTTTACGATCTGTTTCTTTATTTTATTATGTTATACTTTATTTTATTTATAGGTATTAAAATCGGATCCAGTGAAACGGCTGTTTAATCAACCAAATATTGTTATTAAGACGTTTCCTTTACAAATAAATACAACCTTTACCTCAGATGATAATGTTGTCACAAACAAACTAAATAATTTAAATACGAATTTAAATGAATCAAACCAACCAGAATTATCTGTAATTCCTTTACAGATGGATCAAGAATCTGGTAAAGAAGATGAGAATCTCTTGCCTTCTAAAAGACAAGGTAAATCAGAAGTTACATTAGTACCTATTAAAAGGGAAGAAAAACCTTGTGGTCACTACGAACCTTGTGAGAATATTGTTTGTGACGTGGCTGTACAACAGTATGTGGATCATGAAGGAGTATCGCCTATGTTAGCTATTAACATAGAGGAAGATGAAATAAATGCGCCTGTTTCAAAACATTGCTCAAACGAGAAGTGTGATGCATTGAGCATTGATCATGATCGTTGTCGCAGAGCTGTAGTGAGACTGAATAGGTGTAATGAAATAATGGCATGTGACATTTGTGGTATTCCTTTAACGACGCAGAGATCTCGCATATCCCATAAAAGTTGTGTAAGGAGAAATGAGTATAGGCATAATGAAACTGACGGTGCTCAAATACTAAAAGAAAAAATGCGTGAAAGAGAAATTCAAATGATAGAAGATTCTAAAACGAAAAAGAACAAATATGTGGATCCTATTACAGGAAATAACCTTGCAATGGAAGCACTAAAGAATAATGAGGAATTAATTGTAATTCCACAATCTGTTCCTGCCCAGCAACCAGAAATTTCTATAAGTCTTGTACCTACAACTCAATCTACTCTAGATACTGATTCTGTAAATAATGTCCTAGGCAAATGTTTACCTAATATACCAATTGTATTACAACAGCAAGGTATATTCTTTGGTAAAACACAGTGCTCTAATGAAAATAGTGCAACTACTCCAATACAGGTAGCTTTGCCTAATACTTTGAACATACCACTTGTAACAACAACTGGTGCAGTTCCTTTATCTCAGAATCAATATATTACATTTGCAACGCAAAGTAATATACAACCAATAGCAATAAATGATTTGCTGTTGTCACAATCACAAATTATGACAACACCAATTCAACCTAAACCATTGCTAACTCCTATACGCGTTGTACCTATAACTAATTTAATAACACAACCATCATTGTTGCATCAAACACAAGGTATACCAAAGTTTTGCATCATGGCAGATAATACGGTACCACCTCCGAAACCACCTTCACCACCACCACCACCACCGCCACCACCACCACCAACTGTAACAAGCCCACAGCCTATTCAGCTCTCGCTATCTGTGCCAAGCATTGATATTTCAGATGACAATGAAATAAAACCGCAAACAAGGAAGAAAATAATAAGAAAAAAGCACCAACATAAAAACAAGAATTTCAAATGCAATTATTGTCTTAAAAGTTTTAGCACAGATTGGTATTTCAAAGTGCATGTTGCTAAGCATACAGGTGAGAAACAATATCCTTGTAAAATATGTACAATGTCCTTTATTAATCGTTCTGATATGAAAGACCATTTACTAAAAGAACATAAAATTGGGAATACTCCGGAAATGCATAACCAGCATCATATTAAAGGCCATAAGTGCCAAGACTGTAATATCATATATGTAAATATTGATCACTTAAAGCATCATAAGGAAAAATGTCATAGAAAAACAGAATGCACATTTTGCCATAATGAAATTTTGATAGACGATTTAGATAGGCATATAGAATTAATGCACAAACATATAAAGAAGGAAAATACAGTGGAAGAAAATGGTAATAATGATAACAGTTCTGGTAAAAGAGCTAAACTAAAAGTTCCTTCAAATACCGCAAAAGATGATAATAAAACAAATGGATATTGTTAGGTACATCAAAACTATATTGTATTGTGAAACATTCCAATTTAGCCACTCATTACAGTTGAAACAAACAAAAAAAGAGAAAAGAATCAAATTACATAGATCGAAAGTATTTCTGTTGTAAATATTAAATGATTTAATTATATTTTCAAAAAGATGTTTAAACATTATAGCTAATTAAGTGTTAATTTTATTTTAGTATCAAATTTTATGTTAAACTCTTAATACAAAAATAAAAAGTAGGGAAAAGTAAAGATGTTTCACAAAGTTCAAAAGAAAATCAATATTTTTGAGGTAAATAACACAGTATAAAAAATTATGAACGGAACAAGTTAAAGTTAGGAAAAATTATGCTGTACGAAAAATTTCAAACTGTGATATGTGGCCATCTTTCCACTACAACAATTCTGTTTTCATATAATGTAAAAATTCACCTTCTTAATTACATATTCAATGTAATTAATACATACTAACAACCATTTAAATATAACATATTTATTTATGTATACAAGTAAATAATAGTACATATCTTGAAATGCACAGGAAAAAATTGTAATAAAAGGCATATTCATATTTTAAGATCAAGAAATTTGTTATTGATATTTAGAGTATTTTGTATGGAAAGAGGGTTTAAATGCCATTTTTTAAATGTAAATATATATTAGTGACATTGTGTTCCTTTTTTCTAGCTGAGTATTCATTCACATAAATTAAAATTTTTTAAAATCTTTACTAATATAAATCGTGTAATCATGTGAAGATGTTAATATTGCTAAAAAATTCTTTTGGACATTTTAATCTTTATGTTATAGCCTTAAATTGAAATATTTTATTAGATTTAGAATTATTTTACTATATGGTAGAACAATGCCTATTCCTATAAGTATTTGACTGTTCAAAATAACGGTAAACCTGTAAATACTTTTATATTATTACTATTGGATAAATCAAGTACTTAGAGTATTAGAATTGTACTAAATACATTAATAGTATGAAGAAAAGTTTGTAATTGTACATGGGTTAAATACATTGAAACTAAAATATTACTGAATGTTAACAAAAGAGTAAAACAGATAAAAACAGTACTTTCTGCAAATACAAAGAGTTCCTTTTTGATGAAGGAAACTAGGTGAAATATTGTGTGCCTTCTAAATTTTAATGTTCCTTATATAAATACATTTTTCCATCACTTGGTGAAAAAATAAATGTTAATTATAAAATGAAATCGATTCCATCAATTCGTTTTGCCATCTTTATTGACAATAAAAATTCACTTCTAATGCAATTATGCATTAAATGAATTATTGATGAAGACTATGTATGTGTGTATTTAATACTTGTAACATTATATGTTATAATACAATTGAAATTGAAATATTTTTTTATAATGATAAAAATCAACATGTTCATTGCAATATGAAAAGTTTAATCTTTCAATTACATAGTTTACAAACTATTTTTGAAATAATCAATGTTATGAAAGTACTAACTTAAACATATTCTGGAAGAAACATTTGAAAATAATTACTTATTAATGTATTTATATAAAAGGTTATAGAAATAAATTACTGTTTAATATCAAAATCATTTATTTAAAATAGTTCAATTCATATCCTGTCTAAAGCTTCTAACATTATCACGCTGTTCCCGCGAATTACCTAGAACAACAACGCAACATAAAAATTTGTTTGCTTTTAAATTGTATTATTAACATCAATTGAATATTTCATAATATAACTTACCACCATTCCAATATTGTTTTTAGTACCATCTTTACACTCTTCAATACTTTCGTCTATAACCATATTCATAAATGGATCAAAACCACGTAAAATTCCAATAACATGTCTACCGCCATTTAATTTTACTGCAAACATAATACACTATTTTTAATACAGGTAATTTATAACAATACAGTTATATACATTGATGTTTTTTATCGCATGAATAGTCTCCTAACCAATAAGGTTTAACCTATATCAAAATTTATTTAAATGTTTGAATAATTTCAAGCGTTCTTTACTTACACGATAATCTCTTGTCCATATACCTAAAACAGAAGAAAAGAACTTTCTATCAGTTGCTTACAAACACGTTACATTTATTTATTTACATTTATATTATTATTTATATCATCTCTATATGGAGTAACGTAAATGCAATGTAACATACGTTATAACATATTGCAAATTAAACCATTTTTTATACTTACTTTTTAAGTTCTGGAGGATGTGCTTTACTCATTTTTACAGTATTTTTGTTTTTAAGGAAGAAGAAAGGTTATCAGAAACTTTTTTCCCGACTTTTAAAATCTGAACGACGCTATAGTGCGATTTCAGGTATGCCAAACATTAAATTTGTAAGTACTACCAACTTTGTTCCAAACTGCTGAAGACTTCAAGGAAGTTAGTGAATTCAAAGTTCTAAAGAAGCGTCGAACAATACATTGGAGGATTTAAATAAATCATATACATTGGCAGACACTGTAGAACGGTAACTTTATTCTGTATTCTCTATACTAATACATAAAATAAGTGCATCGCAATTTAGCATACATTGGTTTGAAAATTTAACAGAAACATTGTCCCAGTTTTCTCGGTCAACAAAGTTTGGTCGTATCTCAAGTGATCCTACTTTAAAACGTTTATTTGTAACACACATTATACATGTACATATAACTTCATTGTTTAACATATTATATTCTTGCAAGGTACTGTCAGTACAAAATATAAGTACATTCATATTTATAAAAGTACAACGTTCACATTCCGTCGAAAAAAACGGAAGAAATAACGTTTATCTTAAAACATCGGAATAAGTAAGGATTTCGATAGCGCGCTTTGCATTTCGATTTGATCGTACGCTTTAGTTTGTAAACTTGAGTCACTAGCAAATTCAGCATCTTTTGTCTATTTTCTAATTCTATCATTTTCGTTACTAACATTTTTTTTTCCTTATTTCAGGAAGCAGGAATCATCGATATAAGTTTGAAAGCAATCGAACAACATTCTCGTGGAAAAGTTCTTCGAAAAATTTGCCCGCGCGGAAGATCCTAAAACCAGTCTGGTGAAAGCGTCAAAATTCTTATATCCTATGTACATACATCGAATTAAATTATTACATCACAGGTAAAGCGTATAATTCAAAATTCTAATATTTTCCAGGTACTGCATAGATTGAAGTGCACAGTATGTTAGTAGCTGGAGGTTCATCAATTTATGAAATACCCAGAAATTTAACGGAACGGATACATGGAAGAAAGAATCGCAGCGTATGTAGTTAATGCTTTGATCGAACTGATATCAGGTACTTTGGAAAATTTGCATTCATTGAATTATACGCTTTAACGTCGGCTATCTTACGGCTAACTCTCAAGGAATGGCTTATGATTATCATGGACATACACTTCGACAGGAGGCATTTGACATAGCAATCGCTAATAAAAGAATTTTTTCAGGAAAACGTGGCTCAAGAGAATCGAGTGTATGTCACATAACGAACAGCAAAACCTTTTGTAAGCACGAGAACTTGAAAAATATTGCCACCTTTCGGCGCCATTCTCAATCAGGATTCGTGCATACTTTTATCCGCTATCGTTAAAGATGCAACATTGTAAGATGGAACGGATTCGAAAACAGTCATAGGTAAACATCTCGATTCCTTCGAGTTTACCAATTTTCCAGTTACAATAAATCTTCTTATAAAATAACTAATCGATCGCTGGTTGTACTGCAGGCAATGATTGAGAGTGTAAGACTCGGAGAATCGGTGAATCCTTAAAACGAAGTAAAAAAGACGGTATAATAGAAATTTGAAAGAAAACGAACGAACGCAATCCATCGTAATTTATGGTACGGTATTTTACAACGTTCATGGACGCATTACTATAAGAACATCGAAAAATCTGAATGCACCAGTGGCGTAACCAGAGGCAGTGAGGGATCTAATATGTAATAAGGACTTTTAAGTAGCAGCAAGCTTTTGTAGAAGGCTTGCAACGAGTGTACAATTTATCACATGTACGTCGATAAAGGAATACAGATATGTTGCGTGCAATTACATACGATCTACCACGTCTAAATTCTTTTTTTTCTGTTTTATTTTCTCTAGGTATATGAACGATCTCGAGTACCTTCCAACGTGTTTTCATAAGCATCGAGTTCACTCGCTCTAGTGGTTACGCTAATGGAATGTACTCGCAAATTTAGTCCAATTGGATCGGATTAAGATACTATCGTGGATCAAGTGCTTCGAATGAATTGCGTCAGAGATTGCCAACTTTTTTTCTTAGAGCGTCAAAAATAATACGCTTATATATCTAGAAAACAGAGCAGCGATAAAAAAAAGGAAGAAACGAGACGACAATATTTTGGTACGTACTAATAGGAAAACGTGTGCACGTGTTTTCGAAGTTGCAACGATATTATTACGCACTCTTTTTTTATTTTAATACGCAATCGTTTCTTTGCAGTTTCGCATGTGATTCTTATTAATCTTTTGCAGTGAAATTCTATTAAAATCGAATCGCAAAAGGTTAAATCGAATCCGCTTTTTTGGCAGCAATCGTAGCGCAATTCTCTTCTACTTGGATGTCACGATTTCTAACAGTAAAGATCGACGAAGCGAGGTATGTACCACGGTAATATCACATCGAACGATCTTCTATTGAAAACGCTTCTCCCGTGTGGAATCTTTGCTCGTATGATCTTAAAAATCGTTGCAAGACCACAAGTCATTGCGGGAAAAACTGGTTCGAAAAAACGCATCACAGGAACATCGAGACATTGAAAAAATAACATACGATAATTGCTCGCGTGATTGTATCGACAGATACGCTTCGTTACATCACGTGACTACTAACGCGTTCACGTTTAAAACGGCATCAACCTGTTGCTTCTCCTACTGACAATGATATTTCGTTAACGCTTTCAAAAACATGAAACGTTTCACGATAAGACTTAAAACATCCCTTATTTCATATTTTAGGACGTATTTGAATCATTGAATCGCTAATAGTGTAACGAATTTCGCGTAAATATACCCGAATCAAGCGGGATCATTTTGCGGATGCGCGCGCAGGTTTCGTGGATGCGCGCGCAATATCATTCACCGCGCGCAGTCGACTTCGGTCCGCTGTAGGGGAAGGATGTATTATCGTTCGTCGCGCGAACTAACCTCGTTATCATAAGTGTTTATGTTCGTTCGCATAAATTCATCAAACCGTTTTATAATACGCAACACGAACACGTGTAGACATATTCAGAGATCAGTTTACCAATAATTATTGTGATTATTCGGCCAATTGTAATTGATAGGTTAGAATCGACGATCGATCATTCGATTACCGGTATACTTCGAAATTGACGCGGCGAGATCTGCGCGGACAACGATCATTGGTCGATGCGTCGCGAAACCGTTGAACTACCCATAATGCATTGCAGCATGGAAGCTCGTGAAGTGCTTTTCGACGCGGTTTTATCCGCGATTGATGTTCGTTTAAACGGTCGATCCGATATCAAACAGTTGTTTCGCGAAAAACCTTAACCGAAGAATCCGCGTGTTTAATGTGTATATATCTTGTGATCGTCGTTGCGCTGTCATAATTGTTGTTGCTGTGGTTGTTGTTGTTGTTGAAGATCTCACGGCTGGTTAAACTGGACATCGTACCCGATTCGGACTCCTGATTCATCGTGTCTGCAGTCAGGAATCAATCATTGACTACCCATTATGGAATCGTATATAGCAGAGCAGATTAAGGTCTGTATTATTTTCTTTTATTGCATGCCTATCAGTTTATGCAAATATTTCCGAATATCCACGCTTAGAAATATAAGAAAATTGCAGTCATCAATGTGAAATGTATCCATCGTAGAATTATCTAGTTCTAGATTAAGATTATTTTTATAATTACAGAATAATTTTCCTCATTTATTTAAATCTGCTCTACTGTAAAACAATGTACGTTCAAAAATGCGAAACTGAGAATGCACTGTCGTGCAACGTGCAGATAACGATACATATACAATTAAACACTGAGTTTACAAAAAAAACGTACATTTACAAAAATAAAAAAAGATTAGTAGTCGGGCGGGAAAACAATTGTGCTATGCTAATAAGGATATAAATAAAAGAAAAAGCAATGTTCGGTTGTATTAAAAATAAATTTATATTTACAAACGGCAAAAAAAATAATAACTAAATAATTGTCTTACGATTCGTAAGCATAGTAGGATCAGAATCGAATGCACGATAAATCGATTGCTCGAATCTCCGTGATTATTACATTCAGATTCAAAGATCTGAAGTTTGCCTAATAAAATAAAAGTTACAAGCTATACTTTGCTAACAATAAGTACCTACGAACGCAACGTTTCGAACTTGGGGAAGGAAACAGGTAACTTAACCTTACTTTTAACTGTTTCTCGTATTGCGTGTAACTTTTTTGGCAAGATTCGAACGTATACGTTCATTCATACGCGAACTACTCTATGTTAAACGATATTTTGACTAAGATTTACGTCCACGTTCCGAGAAGATACGATTAACCGCCTACTGAAATTTTGTCGAGACGCTACAAATGAATATCTTCTTTATTGTCCACGATCTAGCGTGTTAATCGAATAAGTAGGGAAAGCTTTCGTTCGAGCATCGACGATCGAACATCGAAACGTAAAGCGATATAGAACATAGCATTAATTCCTTAGGTAACTATAATTCGCTAATATAAGTTAATATCTTTCTTTTTATCGCTAAAATCAAACTAACTTTGGCAGTCGGGGTCCAAACGCGTCGGACTACTTGCGCGCATTTAATGTGCGCACGCGCACAACATTGCGCGCGCGGATTTTTTAAACATACTACGATAGGACAGTACAATTTGGCAAGGATACGATGCATACACTTTCGATACCAATTAGACGTTACGAATGAACATTTTTTGGACGAAATTGAAGTTACAACATAGCTGATTTATATCTATTCTAATCGTAAATATATTGCTAACTACTTAACGAATTAATGAGCGAGTAGGATCGAGCATTTGTGAATAAGCGAAAGTATGAAGGTGTTAGTAAGAGAAATGAGAGAGTTTCGAAAAGCCCAATTTCGTTCAAAAAATTTATCCACGTCGTAACTCCTGCTGGTAAATACAAAAATGGATGGAATTCTCGCGATAAATGAGAATTAAAAAACAAACGCGAGGAAATCGTATAAAATCGAATCGTTCGATCCGTCATTTGAAATTAAGATTTGATTGCAATCTGTATAATGAAATAATTAAAAACGACTACGAGGTAACAATTTACTCGAGCAGACACGACTCGATTCTTAATAATTAAAAAATCGCGAAAGGTGTCGGGATAAAATAAGAATAAAACGCGATCTACCGTAACTTTCCGCGACTCGATTATGTACAGTGTGGTAACGCTATTTTTTAATACATCGTAGGTATTGTTCGTTAACTAAACGATGACAGTCATCCGGTTGCTTCGAATTCATCAACTCAACGCAATGTAACACGTCGCTATATAACAACGATATATACTGCTTATTCAACTGCGCATCTAGAATATGAAAATATACATAATTTACCGTTCACAACATCCATGTTAAACAAAACGAAATTCACGCGACACGAGAATATTAGGATGTATCGTGCACATGCAGGAAACAATTGGAAAGTCTCATAACATGCGATACGACGTAGAATTAATTAGGGTGCTACTCGGCTGAGCATAAGCGGGGTCGTAAAGGGTTTTAAGTGACTATAGAAGTACCGCTTTCTCCTAACGATTCATTAGTTTGATGCATACGAGATGACGGATTTTCTGGGTTTAATAAAAGTAAAGCACCACTAGCTTTGTTTTTTCTAACAATTTTCCTTGAACATTTCGTGTGCATCAACCTAATTCGAACGTGACACGCGTGTATGACTATGGAAAATAAATAAGGAACATCAGTGCATTAAGATCTACGCGTCCTTTCACGACACTATGCAACAACATTTTTGGCATCTGCTTTTCTTCTCCGCGATATTATGCTTACACCTTTCCGACACTTGATACGCTTTCAATTTCAATTTCACGTTTCCTGTACTATCACCGATATCCTGGCTTTGTATAGAATTACTTCTCGTTATCTGTTGCGTGATTACCGTTTCGTTTTTATTGTCACATCTTAAAATTTCAACTTCGTTCGTTCTAAGCCCTCCCCCCACGTTCTGCTCTGTTTTCACACCTTTCGTATCTCTTTCCGAAAGCTTGTCCGCTTCGTTATCCCCGGAATGAACTTCGATCTGTTCCGTTCGCGCGTATTTTAATACTTGAGAAGTCTGATCGTTCGCAGGATCTTCCGTAATTACTTTTCTATCTTTAATACTAGATTCATCATCGTTCTGTACGAGGGCGCACAGATTTCTGCTGTTATTCTCTTCCAAGGTATCTATGATTTCGTTGAAACGCTGTTCCTTCGCTTCGAGCATCTTATCTTCGTCTATTTTACTCCCCACTCGATAAACATTTGTACCAACCATCATCGGATAAGCATTCTTATCTTGACTCGTTAGAAGTTCGCTTATGTCACGTAGATATACGTTCTCGTCGATCGCGATCTTTGTGTTCGAACTCAGTCTGTTGCTCCTCTCGTGAATTTTCTTCTCGCACGTTTCGTCCGATTTTTCCGAGCTGAAAGCTTCTCCGCTTAAACTCTTCGTTTGACCGTCCGAGTATACGCTCAATTTATTATCCGAGTAATTGCTGTACTTATCCTCGTGTAAGTACACAGAACTCTCGTTCGATTCTAAATTACTTGCGTTTATGATCGATATCCTGGGTATGATCAAGTCGGACGATAAACCTTCGACACCGTTCGGCGACGACGAACCACCTAGGGATGCTCGATTAACGAACTCCCCGAAGGAATGGTATCCTTGCTGTCCTTTACCTTGAACCCATGCCTCGGTCAACAGATGAGACCTTTGCCAGGACACGTCGCTGTTACATCTGTTCGTTCTGACGGTCCATTGTTCTTCGGTGTTTGGCCAAGAGTGCAAACAACGATCGCTAGGACTTCGTTTGATGTCCGTCGCTTCTTGGTCGATCGTATCCGTCTCTTGTTTCTTATTTCGCACGATCAGCTCCAATTTTGATTTCAACAGAGCGGGCGACACAGCTCGGTCGAGACGTCTCATCGAATTCGACGGATTCACCGATTGTAACGTGGACGAATTGTTGATATTCTCTATGTCTACGTCCGGAAGATCAACCGAGGCTGTCATAATAGCATTCGGACTAGGACTGTCCATGCTATCCGGGGTGTAAGGATCATGCTTGATAGGTGCTGCGTGCAACAGATTAGTCGAACGGTCCATGTAATTGAGCCGTCCGCTAACGCAACTACTGTAATCAGGCAACATGGACAACAATTCCACGTAATTGTCTGGCACTCGAAAGCAGAACTCAGGCGCACTCGGCAAGCTGCAGCAATTTATCATACCTTCGTCCAAGGTGAGACTAGCCCTCAAGTAGACTGGCTGGAAACGGGAAAAAATGGACGATCCTTATGTATTATCGTGCATCTCTATGAAGAAATAGAGGGACATTCCTCATATGGTAAGGCTCTATAAAAAGTCTAACTAACATTAACGTGATTCAGGACGATGATACAGTGACGATTGTACGTTTGGTACGGTTAATGTAAGGCTAATATGGTACTGAACGTTTGTATATAGTATTCAGATACGATTATCATGAAAGTTCTTATTTTTCTTTTTTATGGGTTTTCAATCGTAATTTCATATCGGTAGAATATTCTTAGCGTAAAATTGATGAATTTTTTACGATAAATGTATCAAAGAAGCGACAAAGTGCACACCTGCGGTGATAAAATAAAATATATTTAATCACTTTCGATGATAATAATAGCAGAAAGCTAATTGGAATCATGGTATCGAAAATCAGTAAAAAGGTGAATTTGGAGTTATAATACTACATTGAACCAGCTACATCAAACAAGCCTTTATGTATAATAGTTAGAAAGAAGATAATGGAATACTAAGAGAAATATAGGATAGATGGGAAAACCAAGATAAGAACAGGCAGACAGTTCATAGATAGGTACCTTAGTGCTTAGAGAGTCATTCGAAACTCCAGAAAAACAGGCTGCACCATAATAATTAGAAAAATGAATCATCAGAATAAGAACTAAGAAGAGTGTAAATATATGTACCCAGCATAATAAGTAAAACGAGTCAGTACCTCTTTGTTCTGTTAGAACAAAAATAAAAAAAATTAAATTGTCTCACCTTGTGATCACCCATACAAGTTGTTGGTCCTATTATTCCGTACTCTACAGCGTCTGGTGATGATATCTGAAAGAGAGAAAGAAACGATTTACTTACAATGACTTGTTCCAGAAAATGTTGTTGACAATAACAATTTAATAATGATTCATACATCTTCGACTAGTAGTTTAGCTGTAGTACTCAGTAGAACACGATCGCACCAAGCTGGTACTCTGGTTTGCATGTAATTCGAACCTTCATTGATATCCTCCTCGAAGGGATAACTGGGCACAAATTTAATTGGAAATTCATATAATCTTCCGTCAAAGTCTTCCAGCTCTCTGTCATATTCACGTAGCTATATAAATATCGGTAATTTCATTATGGTCTTCCTAATTGTTAATGCAGTATTGTAAGTAACATTGTACAATTTAAAATTTAAACGATCAACTACCTACCCATTGTCCACTGTTTTGCATAAAAACATTTTGATGCTCGTGATGAGAGAATTCTTTCTTTCCTAACGTTAATATGAGATCATCTTCTTTATTGTGAAATTGCAATTTCGAGATGCTTCCTTTGTTTGACAACTTTCTTTCTTGAGTATCTTCTGTAAGTTTCTATTAAAAAGAGAAAATTTTTGTTTAATTTCTTTCTATCTATACGAGAATAGTATAGTTTCTTATACGTACTTTAATTACGCTAGCTGTGTCTGTTCTAAAGTTAAAGTCTCCAAATAAAAAGTATGGTACATTTGGATATTTATCATTATGAAACCTATCTAACGTATGCTCGAGCGCTCTTCTACGCGTTTTACTGTATACAGATGGAAACTGAAAATAAACAATCGGGATAAATTAAGCGACAACGAGCCGCTTATCGTTGAACGGTTACGTTTACTTACTGTTTCCATAGCAATGAAATTACTGGCATCATGAAATAAGTGTATATTTATGAGATCAAAAACAGTTCCGCTAATACTCCATCGTGTTCTTAGAAATCCTTTTCTAGACCATTTACATTCTGGAAAAAATTCTTGAGGAAACTTTGCTTTTTCTTTGGTTGTAACTGCCTCGATATTACCAGAATGAACCTCTTTTCCATTTACTGGTATAAAAGTACATTCTGAAATCATAGCATGATAATTACATTCAGTTATATAAATTTACACATAGATTGTTAATTATAAAATATATGTACGCTATACCTTTAAAGTCCCATAGTAAAACCTCTTTTAAAGATTCATGCACAAAGTAAAAATTTCCAAGTGCCTGAAAAAGAGAGATATCCTTCTGTATCTGTGTTGGCAATCAATATATAGATAAAATATGCGTATAATTTTTATATACATACTGTAAAATGTTCAGCGGATGAATAGTCTTCATCTAAGAATACTCTAATTTTGTCAAACAGCCTTAATTCCTCTGATGACATTAGTAACCTGTAAGAAATATTATTAGATGCAATTAAGCCTTATAAGGATAAAGATCCTGAACTTTTCATAGCTCAAAGATAGACTATATTTTCAAACACTTTTTTTTACAGTGTTCCCCCATGAACATCATTCAATAAACTCATCTTTTGAAGTGGCTCACTCAACTGTAGAGCCACGCGTGATCATCTATTTTTATCCCTTTCTGCCACTTATGCGTTAAATCATATTCAATATGCGGTCAGAGAAACCTATTTGTCTTAGTATAGTTTTAAAAAGGTTCATGCTTAACTGCTACTATGTATTGTTCCATAAAAATATCATTTGTGGAACTGGTAATTGATTTCAGATTAATTCCATTCAATGAGTATAGAAATAAGGTTTACATAAATATGTCTACTAAAGATCTGTGCTCATCATTCTATTAATTCAGTTAGATTCCTTTACTAGAGGAAACCTTTCATAAGAAGCTTTGCTCTAACAAGATTTACCTAGGAATCTTGTTCACCTTTAGTCCAATATAGCTACTATGTACAGAGCGTGCAATCCACAAAACTTACATAGATAAAAGGAAGAATATTTGAAAAAAAAAATACAATGCTAAATTACCTAACAAAGTCTTCCACGTGTCTCATACTTTGCTCATAATTTTTTCCACCTACTTCTTGGCAGTGTAGTGCAATAAACTTTGGATCCAACCTCAGTATAGTCTGTAAAGAATTCTCGGTGAGTGTAAATACTCGCTGTATTTACGCAGTGACAATGCATCTTATCGGTGATACTTACAGATAAAAATTCTTCCGTCCAAATTTTCAACATCACACTAGGCTGTAAAAAGGAGAGGATTTTATAATTTTCATCGATATTTTAGCTCGCGTAGACGAATAGTCTGTTTATCGTTCGTCGATAAAGTACCGCGAAAGAATTAACCCTCGGTAAATTACCCTGTGTAATGTATCAGAGATCCGTTTTCTCTTGGTATTTTACGATCTCCTTAGTTTTGCTCAATTTCTACGTAAAACTAGGCCGTAAAAAGGAGACGATTTTATAATTTTCATCGATATTTTATCTCGCGTAAACGAATAGTCTGTTTATCGTTCGTCGATAAAGTACCGCGAAAGAAGTAATTCTCGGTAAATTACCGTGTGTAATATATTTGGAGATCCGTTTTCCTTAATTTTGCTCAATTTCTACGTAAAAGGATTCGCATTAACTTCGTATTAATTGATTTAATAAGGGAGACGTAATTCTGTTCCCTATCTAAATCGACGCGATCCGATAACGAACCAGCAATTATGGAAAATCCTCGATAGACGTAACGCACGGTTTCTGGTTCGCGCGTTAACATTACAACTGCATTGTATTTAGTATTTACGCGTAAGTTCGAGCGACGCATTGGAGGTTCGACGACGAGGAAAAGGAGAGGAAAAAAGTTGAATGAAGAAAGAAGAATTAAAGAAGAGAGGCAGAGGATGTTACAAGTTGACATTATTACAACATTGCACGTACGAAAGACGCGCCAAACAAGAGTCAGCGAAGCGAAACGAAAGAGGAAGAAGGAAGGAAATAAGTAGGTCGTGTCGCGTCGCGTACGAAGGTAAAAATCGTCGTCGAGTCTCGATCGATCCTTCAGGGTCGTGGTCGATAATCTAAAGAAAGGAGAAAGAGATAAACGTATAAAAATTTGTCTGGTACGTACCTCCTCGAAAATACTGCCAACGTTTGCGGTAACCAGCAACACCGGAACGCTGTTACCCGCCATTTCTTCAATGTGTCAGTGAAGGGAAAGTTTTGAAAGAGGCTGGTCGAGTCTCTCGGGGCGAAAGAACGAACGGTCGTCCGTTAACAGGAAGACAGGTATCGGTCCCACGACGGCGTAGAAGAGGTAGAGGGTCGGTGCAGATAGACTGTCACCAGTAATCGAGTCGAGCACACTGGGAGTGCGTCGAGTGCCGCGAGACCGAGCTTTTCCCGTGGACGAGCACTGTAACCAGATTCGTGGAGGAAGTCACCCCCGGCCAGGAAACGTCCGCGTGTCCGGAACAATCAACCCCTGTGCCGAGGAGTGGCCGCGGTTTTGCGCCGTCCACCGGTCGCATCAAACCTCGCACTGCAAATACACATTATTAATCGAATAACGCGAGCCTCGTTCGCGCACCAGAGAGAAAAGTTGTGTGTGCGGTAAATATATCCCTCTATCGGCCAGACCGAAACCACGCCTACTGCAGACGTCAATAGGCAGTGCCGTGCACGTAGGAAACGTAAATGGTCGAGAGAGTAGACGCCGGGCCCCGCGACGCTCCGCGGGCGCCTCCGCTTGCGCTCGCGTGATTCCTCTCGGCTTTCCCATTTCTCTCTCTCAATCTCTTTATTCCCGTATCTGGATGAAATTATGACTCTACCTATGGAAAAACCAACAATCTATCGAAACATCGTATTCTTAAGTATTTTCTTTTCCTCCGCCGAAAGCTCGGCTATTTTGATTTTCGATCGCGACCAATGGAAAGCTTTCGAGAGTTCACGAAATCTGAACTCTGCGAACCTAGTCGAGTTTGCATTTCAATTCATCGTATTCTTCGACGTGTTCGGTGTGTTTTCTTCCTGGAAACGCGTAAGCGGTTATCAGAAACCGCTGAAAGCGTCGCGATAACGAACAGAACGGAAGTTTAGTTCAGATAAAAGGGTACGCTGCGCGCGCACGGTGCCGCACGCGTCGATGAAAATCCGAAAGAAATTAGAGTTACGCATCGCGCGCGCTTTCTTTCGAAATGCACGGACCTTCGTCCGTGACCAACGGACGAATAACAGGCCGCCCTTGAGATTTTATCTCCCCTAGAAGATAAGATTCTCGAGAAAACTGAAACAGCGTCGAGCGTATCGCTCGTACGCTCCTGGGAACGGTTGTCGGAAGCGATGTTCCAGCTGCGCATGAGAAGGGCGAAACGCACGCGCTCTTATGCTCCGTTTACTCTTACACCTTATTTTACTCTCCTTTGTTTGATTTTTCTCCGTTTTTTTGGCAAGCTCGAATGTACAGTTGGACGATAGGTGGGCGGTAGAGACGAGCCGCGATAGTGTACGAAACGTGCACGTTCGACGCCACCGCACGCGTTTCGTTAATTAGTAACAGGTATCGCATCAATTATCTCGCCGACTCCCACGCTCGATTCGCGTCTGTCGACCCGTGGAAAGGTTTTCGTCCTGGCGTTGCACTTGCGTCGCTCCAACCTGTCCAGAGTGCATTTTCACCGCTAAAAGTATCGTTGCCTCGGCCAGTTTACGTTTCGTAAGCCGATACACCGCGAGTGTGCTGCGTCTGGCGATTCCTCGAGTATACAGAGTATCGTGTCGACGGAACCAGGTTCTATTTTCATCGCGAGCCTTCCTCGTGTTCCCTCGACCGATTACCGGCGTCAATTTCGAAAAAATCAACGCTGCTTTCTTTTTTTTTCACCAGGAAAGATCGATGAAACGAGTTCGATCGAGTTTTTAACACTTTCCATTTGTACGTCGATGACGTATATACCCGTCATAGGTACAGCGAAAGGGTTAATAACACCTGGGGTTTGTTGATACTTTTCAGGTACGACAAAGAGCATGCTCTCGGGCGTAATAACATTGTCGTTGGCGGTGGCGGCCTTCGCGAGCGCCGAGAGCATCCTAATGACCGAGGTGTTCGTCATTCCAATCAGGCCAGAGACTTTCGACTGGAGGGAAGACGGTAAGGAGGAAGTGTACACGGTTATAATTGCTGGTATACCGATCGATGACCGATTTCCATCGCGTTTGTATTACTAATTAGCATAGAGGAAATAACGTGGTAACGAAGAAACGCGTAATTGAAATCCCATGGTTATTGATTCATGTATCGGAATCGATTCGTATTCTAGAATATCTTGTTCTTGTTTCGAACAGTTAGCAAAGTAATCGACAATTCTACGATGATCGAAGTATCCATCTTCCATATCTCTGGTCGCCCGGTTAACTCGGTTCACCGGCTGAAATTTAAAGCGTGTCTCCGCGCGTCATTCGCGCCGCGTTTCGAATATCAATTAACGAACATAGTCGAGCAACGAATGTTTCGCGTCGACCTCACAGCTGATTGACGTTCTCGCGTGTATCGGTACTCTCCGACACTGGACGTCATCGGAGGCGTTCGGAAGCGCCGAGCCCGCAACGCTCTTTAAGATTTCTCGTTAACCTCGAGTGATCGCCAAATATCTTCGAAATCCTTCGAAATCATCTATTCTCTAATACCATATTCGGAATCTCTCTCTTTGTTCAGGACGATACGATCAGTTTTCCTATCAGCCCTCGTTACTGAACGCGCCCGATCTTCCCTCATGGATTCATTACACGTACAGCAAGCGAGATCACCATGGCTTTCTGTACGGCGTCGCGCCAAGGAATCAGAAATACTTCCAGGTAAATTGTCGCAAACGCCTGCTTTCCTGGCCCTACGTTAACGTATCAATTCGATGTTTCAGTTGGAGATCGTAGGCCTGAACAAACACACCTACGAAACCAGGTACAAGGTCCTGGACATGAAGGTGCTCGAAAAGGAGAACCTGACCAAGTACGAGGTCCATCTGAAGATCGATAATCTGAACGTGGAGGACATGTTCAACCGCAATAGAACCGAGCAACTTCTCGATATATTTAGGTACGTCGATGGGACTCAAGGAAAAATGTATATCCTTGAAATATTCGATACACAACGATGCGTTAAACGATGGAAAATAAGAAAGGGTGACGAAGACTTTGAGACTGCTCGTGATACGAACCGCTAATACGTTGATGATTGAGTCCTTAATTAATCTTGTGTACGCTGGTGACGGTCAACGCGTTAAAGAAATCAACTCTAGCGCGCCTTTTAATTGGACATAAACGAAACGGTTAAATGTTTGTACGTCTTCTTTTTTTTTTCTCTCTATTACAGAAAGAAATTATGGAAAGACGCGACGGATTTATACGCAACGTTCCTAGCATCAGCAGTCGAGCTGGGTGCTCGTCTGCCGTTGAAACCGAGCGAAGGCGAAGGGTGAGTTCTGCGATTTCTATAAAATAGAAGAAGCTGTGAGATCGTACGAGGCAATATGCGGGCAAGAAATTCGGCTTGAACGGAAGAGAAAAAACGTTGCAGAGGTTCCGTTAACGTATCGCCGATTATGTTAATCGAGCGGACTCAATGAGATTCAGCGTGCTCGCTTCGATATCGCTGACGTATTAATCGTCTGATCAACGGAAAACAACGTTGTGACGCGCGTCCCACGCTTTTTCGAAATCGATAATCGCCGCTTTCTATGCGCGACGTTAAACGGCAGCATCATCCCGTGGATAAATCTTTGTTATTCCGCTGGAGAACGTTCTCTCTTCTAGCAGAGCAAAGTTGCTGAGAATAGAAGGCGTTGTAAAATTGTACGCGATTAAAAATGATTAGGATCTTTTAATTGTTTATACCTCAATGTAATTCGAGAGGAGCCGGCGCACAGCAGGGGGTAGATTTACATAGTAGATTCGTGTATAATAAATCCAACTCACCGAGGCTGCGATACGAAGAAATCAAATGTATCCTCTGCAAACAGAACCCAATAACGATTCCCTTGAACACGTTATGCGTCACTATAAATCGGCTGGCACGATTTTCGCGTCAAATCGGAGTCATTTCATGCACTATCGCTCGTTCACGGTTCACGGATGAGTAACGGTGTCATTACTCAAGTCGAGGCAGGCGTAAAACAAACATTTATTTCTTGCCAAATGATTCGTTCGTTCGGTATCGTCCCATGCTCGTCACGATTGTCGTTTCACCGTCGTTCTAACATTTTTTCCCTTCATCTTTATTACGAGAACATCCGTCTACGAGTGTCGCAACGTTTCCAAATTGCTGGTAGAACAATGAATTTTCACGTAACGCATTATGAAACACTGTAACCGTTCGAGAAATCTTTTTCCTCCTGAGCAGGTGGTAGTGAAAAGAATACCGATCCTTTTCGCTCTAACTAAGAATACTCGTCTTTGTTTCACTCAAAAGTAGAAGGCGAGAAAACGGCGTAGATTAGTCGCGCGAGCTTAATGTTGTTGTATAAGCTGTATGTACATACGCATAAATGGTCCGGTTAACGTAAGTGCGACATTGTCAGCGCACTCGTACGCGTTGTAAACGACTGAACGACTTCCGGCTTGGCCTCTGCTGTTGCTCCGGTCTATGTATGTATCTCGTGCCATGCCGGTCTGCTCTCAACATTTAAACGTCACCCGCTTTTACACAACACTCTGCGCTTTGGTGAAAGTTTTTCGCTTCGTATCGTTCTACGAAGATTTATGTTAATTAGGATGGATCTTCCTCTATTATCAAACGCTTTCGTAAATTTACCTGCCTTAGCCCTCGCACAGGAATCGAGATCTACAGTGGGTGATCATATTATTATGAACAGTTCGAAATTACCACTTATTTGAAGTTTGATCGGGAATGGAATTGAAGATACACTTAAAATGGTATCTCTTTTTATTGCAGATACTTACTGTTTTATTTTTATTATTATTATACTGCTATATTTTACAACTTTTATCATTTAAAACACATATAATATTAATATTTGGTCACGCCGCCCTTGGCATCTATAATTGCGTAAATACGACTCGACATGCTCGTGATGCCATACGAATATAATTTTGTCAATCAGTTGTTGCTTGTTAGTTATTGTCTCTGATGCAATGCGACGCTTTAATAATTCCCATAGATTTTCTATTGGGTTTATATCTGGTGAGTTTCCAGGCCACGGTAAAACTTGAATCTTTTTATCAGTTAGGTAGGCTGTTACGGTTTTTGCTAGAAAGGGTATATTTCACTTTTATGGAATACATAATACCATCTGTTCATAATAATTTGATCACCCACTGTATATGGTACAAGGAAAAAACATCAAAATTTCACATGTACGAGCGTAGAATTTTCGAGGAAACGAAACAGGATGATGACTCGAGTTATCCAAGTAACAGTCCGAGACTTCTCCAATTCAATGTATCTTCGGCTTGTTGACACGTCATTGATTCCACGTTATTGAGGAATGAATCGATAGATTATAATTGTCTTACTCTCTAATTACCGAGAAACACACTCCGACTTTGGATTCTGGTGTATCATCAGGAGTGCACGATCGCACGTTCGCCGTTTCCTTAGGAAGATAGATCGTTCGAGTAGCTGGAAAAATGATTGGGAAGACGATCATCCCTTTGAACGGTCGATCGAAGTAGCATCCGTGACGAAACGTTGACGATTAACCGAAGAAACGTGTCGGCTGCTAATTACCGTGAAAAACGGTAGCAGGATGCTTCGAGACTTTGGCCGATCTCGGTCAATGGAAATCACGTATACTACGCACGGGACTCTCCCCAACTTTCGAGCAAGATAACGGGAAATAATGCACGAGTAGGAAAACGATGACGTAGTTTCTGAAGCTCGGGTAGGACGTGTCGTGGTTCACGTACGCGCTGATCGAAGCAACGCGTGGCTGCGGAGAAAGAAAACGCATTGCGGCTTTAAATTCGAGTTCACCTTCTGCGCGCGACTGTGCGATGACTTCCTGCTGAACGATTGATAGTGGCTTTCCTCTTCGTTTCTTATCGAGAACCGTTAGATATCTCGGAAGCTCCGCTATTAAACGACTGATGGGGATTTTTTTGTGACTTTTTAACTAGATTATCAATTCTGACCATTCTTTGCAAGCCGATCACAGTGGTCACTGTGAGTGTTTATATAGAATAAAATCAGAGATCGGTGGCGTCCTTGAGGAATGGTCACAGAAACCTCTACGAGCTTTGAATTCGTGTTCCGTAAATTAAAACTCGAGTTTTCTACTTTTAATTGCTATATTGTGTCTCAACTCTGTTAAAGCTACTACAAATCAATCGCTCCGCTCCAGTATGTCAGCCACGAAGCGGATGGCGGCATAGTTATTATTCATGATATCTCGCAGCTAAAGTATTTTCGAGCGTCTAGACTTCTCGAACAGCTGACGTACCCTATATTGTATTTTTCTTTGTTTTTCGGTGCAGGGTCGTTATAAGGCTAGGCAGTTCGATGCCATTTTCACAAGAATTGAACGAACTACAGGAAGAGGTGAAACCTCTATGGAAATTACCATTCTGTCCACGGGACTTCAAACGCACCAGTGTGGAGAGACTGTTCAGGGAAGCTGGATTTGCCTTGGACTGGTGTTCCTTTAGATTAGTAATTAGGAAGGAAGTAAGTCTTTAACGATTCTTTGGATGTTCAACTTGACAAGTGTTCATTGTCGCAAGGTTTCCCGGTTGTTTTTCACAGGTCGAGCAAGAGCAACAAAGCTTGCAGCATGAGAGCGCAAGACGTGGACAGAGTATGAACGTGGTAGGTTTATCAGCCTCTGGAATTTCGGAGCACACGGAGTGGCGTTGGGCCAGGTCGACGAAGGCTAGCGTTCCCACGAGAAGCTACTTCAACGAAATCGTCACCACGATCTTTGTGCCCACTATACTTCTTCTCGTGTTGGCTGCTTTGCTCAGCACTGTGCTGTGCCTCAATCACGAGAAAATGTAAGTGGTACCAGGGCTTCGGATTCATTCTTTTTAGAATTCATTGTTTTTGGAGAGCGATTTTTCCACTGCTTCTCGAGACGAGTCGGACGATGATCCAGTGGTACTCGCAGTGTACGGTGCTGCTTCAGGATCAGAAACGGTGGATTAGAGAAAGGTTGTAGCGGAATATTTGTCATTCTACACGAACCACGTGCTCGAGAAACGAATTCCAACGCTGTATAGCTGTACAAGCAAACCGAGGCCAAGTGGTAGGGGCGCTAAGAGTAGATAGAGGGGGCTACTACTACGAGTTGCTTTCATTCATAAAACGGCTACGATATCTGGTCAAGCGGCGAGGCAGCGTACGGTACGATCGAAAATACGATTACGAAGTAATCGTACATATTCTCGATAAGAGTACGTTCGATACGGTTCTAAACACTCGAGTCGAGTGAATAGAATTACATAGTCCGATAGAAATCGTTGGGAGAAAAAGGAAAGTCTTAGCGAAGAATAGTTTTTCACGAATATCTCGAAAACTAAAGCTTTCCGTTAATTATGCATACTGAAAAAGATGTTCAGAATCATGCCCCCGACAATATATTAAAGGATCATTGAAATCATTCTATGTTGAGATTAGAAACTTCCCGTTTCTTTGCAATAAATGGATCGGAATGAAAAAATGCAAAATGTTTTTTTAACGGGACCAATCGGAAGACATACATCGGCGAACAAAGCCAGAAAAAAAGTATACTGATCGAATTGAGTATCCTCCTCCTTTTCGAAGTCGGATAATAATTTGATTATTTCAAATATTATAGGAATAAGTGTCTTCCAACGAGTATGCATAGGATTATTACGCGTCGAGTAATAATTAAAGAGTCACTTAACGAACTAATCGAAGTTTCTTTTCAACTAATTGTTAAATCGTTCCCAACATATGTAAGCGTAAATACTTTACCGTATTATATGCAATTTAGCGATTCGATTCGTTATCACTTTAAGTGCCACTTGCCATTAAGTGTTATCGTTGAGGAACGTAAAAAGTTTCCTGCAAATACTTAGGGAAGAAGATATTTATAGTCTGACGTACCATTGAAATTGATGATTTTAAAAACCGATCCGTCACGAGTTTTTATAAAAAAGAAAAAGCAATCTTTTTTAGTGATAGAATACGCGGATGTTTGTACGATTGGTATGATAAACACAATCTACGTAAGCGAGCGTAACGAAGTTTATAAACAGAAATAAATAAGCGATTTTTCCTTGGTACGAGCATACACGTGTATGTCAGTCGGTGGTATAAATAGAAAGAGGTTCAGTACTTCGCGGTGCCGATTAATGTACACTTCACTTATCGTTGAGGTATACCAATGGCGCGTATGCAACCAGTATCTTCGTCTATATTGCTAATAAAATTCTCTAATTGTCATTATTAAACGGTACTTGAATCGTACACAAGGAAGCGATATGATTCATGTTTTTTCTTCGTAGGAACGATCCCGAATCCGAAGATTATTTCAACGAATTGTTTAACGTTTTTCTCGCCAGAAACCAAGTAGCCAGGTATTACGCGATACAAAGAAACGTTTCTTTATGCTAATTATTTTGATCATCCTTTACTAATTCGCACGAGATCGTGTTTGAAACCCAAACTTACAATAATTTATTAATTTTTATGCCAACGAGTTTAACTAGTTTCCTATTTTACATACAGGATATTGGTACTTTAGAACATGATGAACCAACTGTATGAATATCGAATCACAATGGAATACAGAGTTTTTCTAATGGTTTAAAAACAATTAATTTATCAAGTTCTAATTTTAAAATTGAACGACCTTGTTCACAGGGAAAAGAGAGAGATCTCGTCAGGGGAAGGAGTTAGCAACAACAACATACAAATGGTACAGTATGCTACCATCGAAAGGGGTACTTTGAAGTCACTCTCTGCTCAGCCTTCCAGTCCCAACGATTCTCTATTACGAAGTCCTAGGTACTTATCATCGTTTATCTAATTTGTATAATAACGTATCTAACGTATCTTTGATATTCTAGGATATCCAATGAACGTTGTAATCCGTATATTCGACCAAATCCACCGCCATACACAGGACCACCTAATCTGTAGGTTCCACGATACGTTTTACCTTTGTATCTCATAATTACATTTTAGTAAAAGAAAGAAAATTCTTTTTTTTTTAGCATTGGCATTCGAGCTGATTTCTGACTACACGAGGAGCCAGCAAAAACGTGGTTTTGCTGAGTGAATAAGCTTTAATATTACAAGCTTTACCGGATAAATCGCAAAATCATCGAAACTGGCTCCATTATTTGAAAAACAATTGCCGACAGTAGATAAGTATTTAGTGGTTGGTAGAAATAAACTATTTCTAATCTTATGTAAATTGCATAAAGAGAGCTAATTTTCAATCTCGCAAATAGATCTCATAAATAATTTCCCAATCAAACACCATTATAATTTATTAAAAATTTAGTACAATATTTAAATACGTCATGTAACAATATCACATTAAAAATAAGATAACATAAAAGTATGTTTACCAAAGATAAGTACATTCTAACGTTTCCTTTTCAATACCTTAAGCACATTTCCTTTTCAAAATACGTTTTAGCATCTTGTATAGTCGCAAACATCTTAAGCGTAAATTTTCCATGTAGATACAAGTCACATCTTTTAATGGTTTCAAAGATAGGACTTGTACAATTAACAAAATAAAAATGTACATCAATTTGTTGGAAATCTTTTATCGTCGAGTGCAAAGTGCTTACACCGCTAGAGTCGATATAACTTAACGCGCTCATATCCATTATTATACACCTTAGCTCTTGTATATCTTCTGAATCTTGTGTATCCATATAAATCCCTTTTTCTTTTAACTTAGCCTTCTGTTCGATAACTTTTTGTGGATTTATACCGATCAACTTGTTTAATTCCGATTTAAAATAATCGCTGTTCGCGAAGTTCAAAGTTCCACAATAATGAAATATTTTTAATCCAGGAATTTCTACTGCCTAAAAAATGATCAAACTATCAAACGTAATGTTTTATACAATAAGAAATATTCATTATGTAATACGTACCGTTTTGAATCTACTCAAATCTAAATATAAATCCGTGTTTGGTATATGTCCCAATAAACAAGTATACGGTCTAAGACTTTGCAATAAAATAATTCCAAGTGACAATATTATTCCACTTAGTAAACCAATGTCAATGCTTACTATTACTACTATCAAGAACGTCACGATCCAAATGATCGCATCGTATTTACTTAATTTCCAAAATTTCATAAGTTGATTGGCTTGCTGAAACATTCCTTTCAACGCTACCTGAAAGGCGTCATTGATATGTATTTATTACTTTTTAGATTTTCCGAACGAGATACTTACAACAATAATTGATGCCAGAACACATCGTGGCAAAGGTTCGAAAAACGGAGCGATCCATAACAGAATAGTAAGTAATATTAAACAAGATACAATACTAGCTATTTGTGTTCGGCCACCGACAGTTTGTTGAATTAAAGATCTACTTAAAGATGCTGATACTGGCATGCATGAGAAACAAGATCCCACTATATTACTCAGACCCTAGAAATGCACTTTACAAATATGCGTACACTTGAAAAATTATATTCAATGTTAGTTTCTTACCATAGCAAGAAGTTCTTGATTCGAGTCAATTTTATAATTAAGTTTTTGTGCAAATATTAAGGCCATCGATATAGTTATGGTGTAAGAAACCATAGTTATAGCGATACTATCTATCGCTACCAAGTGTAACAGCTCAAACGTTGGTATTTGTGGTGTTGGCAATCTGTAAATTTGTCAGTTTTACAAATTCAGAAAATCAAAATTATTATTCATAAATGATTGCACATACCCAGTTGGAATATCACCTACATCTCGAATACTATATTTCTCAGACAAATAAAAATATTTCGAAATTAATGTTCCACTCACAACTGCTATCAATTCAATTGGTATTGGGATACTGCACTTTTTGCTTGCCCAAGGCTAATATTAAAATAGTTGTCAGACAATCATTTATATACCTTTATGATAGAAAAATTGTAATATCTACCTTTAAAAATTCATTATTACAAACAAGAACGATAATAGTTATCAATGATACGATTACAGCAGCCAAATTTGTATTCTGTATATCTTTAAATATATCTATCAATGTCTAAAATAATTTCTTTTATTAATTCACAGTTTTGACAAAAGTTTGATTATTTTATACCTACAAAAATAAGTTGAAAATATCCTTTTTGTCTTGGTATTTTTAAACCTAACAAATCTTTGATTTGAGATGTTAAGACATAAACGGCTGCTCCGGTCGTAAAACTATTGACTAAAGGTTCGCTAAGTAATGTGCTTATTATACCCAAATGAAATATATACATTACGATCTAAGAAAACAGAACGTAATTATTAACTGTTATTAAATATATCAAAAATCTCCAAAATATTACCTGATATATCCCAACCATTAATGTAACTGCTGTTGCTACTTGTATGGGTGTATATAAATATTCTTCGGGATGATCGGACGTTGCATTTGTAGCATTCGGATTTATAATTTCATTGTGTGATACCGAATAAGTCGTCACTGTTTTCCCAGTCATTAAGCAAACCACGGCGAATGTTCCTGATGAGTGCCAATAATGTTTCATTGTTTTAACTTGTCTAAGAAGTTTCTATTAAAAGGATTTTTATGTGTAACTTTTCTGTAATAGAAGTAGCATTTTACAAAATATGTACACATACTGTAAAACACTAAATATGTATATGAATCATCATCAAATACTGAACATTTTTCCCTCTTATTACATTAATGAAATTTAATACAAATATTTTTCTTACCCATTGATACATGTCTAGATGTACCAAAGAAAAAATATACTAAAACAGGAAAGAATGCCATATATATACCAACTACTGGTGGTACATTTCCTAAAAGTGCATAAGCCATCCCCTGAGGAATATGCATAATTGCTACTGTTAAACCAGATATTATATCCGATATTATATTTTCTTTCCATCTATATTTTTTTAACCAACTTATAGTTGGAATTGCAGACATAAAATACGACTTCCAATTTGTTGATTTTATATTATTTATTGCATTTTGAAATACTGAAAGAAACAATTAATATCAATTATATGAAAAATGTATCTATATTTAAAAAATTGTATACATACCAGGTGTTTTTGGTTTTTCATACTGATAATCTCTATTTAAGGCTTCTTGTTCATAAACAGGCCTTTCTAAACTTACTTGCAAAAATATATCTTCTTTCTCCATATCAACGTCAATTAAAAAATGTTATAACTGGAAACTGAAAATTTAAGCCGTCATTTTTTATTTAAGCCTATTGAAATATGTTATGTAATGTTCTTGAAAAAAAATCAATTTAACATTTATTGCAAGATACTATTAAATATGTGTAAGTACATATTTCAGAATATATATTTATATCAATACAGAAATTGAAATTTTCTATTTTCAAAGTTTCAAATCACAAATAGTCTAATAGTTTATAAAACAAAATGAATTAACCTTACAATATGTTTATAAATATTTTATGATTATGTTTAATATTCAGTACATTTTGTAGTTTAACTTACTTTGTCCTATTGTAATGATTTAGTGCTACTATTTAACTGTAAAATAATTTTCAAGCTTATGTTTTGGGATGATTACAATTATTATATCACTTTATTTGGTTGTAAAATTGACATTGATTATTAGCGTCAAGGCCGAACTTCGAATTCCGCGTCGGTAAAACAGTCAACGTTTCATCGAAAATTCGGCCGAACAGAAACTGGTTTAAGCGCCACCTAAGTTATCACATCCAACTAACGGCACGCTATTCTTCGTTACTTTTCGCAAAAAAAGTACTGTGCACCGATGACAAGATGTCCCATGAGAAGGCCGCAAATCTGATTGGTCAGAATGGAAGGGAGACACCTCATTTCACACGCATTTTCGGTTCTAGCGAGCTATTGACTAAAATTCACTAAAACGATCACGCACACTAATTCAAACCGTGTGACGAAAAAAATCGATGAGACGTATTAAGACTGAGTGAGATAGTGCGAGGCGAGCATTGGCGCAGCATACATACGGTGTATCCGAAAAGTAGTGGCAAATGCTTTAAAACAGAATAATTTTTTCGAAATTGAATTAAACCACTTGAATTTTTTTTTTTAAGTACAAAATGGCTGAACTTTTCTTCAAGAGCCCAAAAATTATGGCCTTTTTTTTTATCTTCTTGAAGTATTTAACGAGTAGAATCTAAAAATCCTAGTTTTAAGGCGCGGAATCCATCGATTCAGAAATTATGCGTGTGTAAAACTGAACGTTTTTAGCGTATTTTACATGTTACTTCGACGCCATATTGACTTGTAACCAGGTGTCGTCCAATGAGTGGAGTCGCCGTCGGTAAAACAGAATTATGTACATAAGTGGCGGCCTAAACCCGGTATATCTAAGGTTAGCTTTTTTTTTTATAAACAATATCCCCTCGGATTTGATAGGAACTGATGGTACTCACACCCAACGAATAGAGTCCAACTGGTGGTCGGCAAAGGATTGGATGCGGGGAATAACCTGTCAAATACGCTAAAAACGCTCACTTTTACACACGTATAACTTCTGAACCGATGGATTCCGCGTCTTAAAACTAGGATTTTTAGATTCTACTCGTTAAATACTTCAAGAAGATAGAAAAAAAAGGCCATAATTTTTGGGCCCCTGAGGTAAAGTTTACCCAAATACAAAAATCCTACGCCTATGTAATGTGCGACGTCAAAAACCCAAACGTGGGTGTTACGAAAACGTCAAACAGTGGGGAACTGGCGGAGCGAACGACGGTCCCCCCTTGCCCCTGTGCCGTGCCGCGGGACATCTTGTCATCGGTAGACAGTAAGTAAGTACATCTCATGACACATGGGTTGAAAATCGCTATCGTAGTCGATAGAACGTCGCGTGAAAAAGAAATTCACGCATCAGAGTTCATCGCCTCTTCCAGGCTCGAACGTCCCATTCTCCACGATACATTGTATCGTCGTCGACGGTTCGGTCAACACACACATATTCACATATGCGAGCTGCAAATAAGCGCGCGGTCGAGCGCAGAAAATGAACGAACTGCGCCCTACAGAAAAAATGAGGAACTAAATTTGTGGTCTGTTTTACCTTTTTGACGTCTTTCGCGAGTAAAAATCGTAGAACACAAATTTCTTCTACCTGAAGGCTTGTACATCATTCCTTGGGTGTTCGTTTTGTTCTATCTGACCCAAAGAATGACGCTCTGGTCTTTATTTGAACATACGATTCGCAAAAATGTTTATATTACGAATAAATTAATGCAGGTGAGTCCGATCCGCCATTTTCTTGACCATTGACAGACATAAATTTCAATATTTTATAACTTTTTGACGATTTGGATAATATAAGGACCAGAGTGCCATTCTTTAGGGCCTCCTGAACACGTCCCTCAGATTGTTTTGCATTCTATTTAGTAATGACGACGTAATTTGTGTTCTCGTTTTTAGGGATTTTTCTAGGGACTGTTGGCAAAATTTAAAAAATGTAGAAACTGCAAGAAGAGTGCGATGGTTCGGTTTCATTCTTTTTCCAAGTGTCGGCAAGCATGCACAAGCTCCAATTTTGAATTGTGAATCACAAAAGTATATAATTTACTTCGGATCGAAAAAACTTTAGCACTCTATGTTATTATTATTATTATTGGGTGATTAGTGTTTAATTAAGTGGTTTAATTTAGTGTTTAATTTAATAATTAATTTAGTGGTTAAACTATTCCTCCTACGAACTAAATACAATGTCTACCGTTGAAAGAAAGAAATACAAACAATTGACTGTAACTCAGCGTATGCATATTGCCGAGGAACTGTTGAATGGTGTCCTGCCAAAACACTTGGCACGTGAATTTGGTGTTTGTCTCCGCACAGTGTATCAAATACAAAAAAGTGCAGTACAATTGCGACAACAAGCTGAAATGCAACACCCCGTAACTGCAAATCGAAAAAAATTAAGGGAACCCGTACTGTCCGAATTGGACAGCAAATTATATTTGTGGTTTATAGATCAATCAACAAATGGTAACATTTTAACCGATAAGATATTGCAGAATAAAGCGACGGAATTAAATAAAAGTTGTGGCGGCCCGTCAAATTATGTTTGCAGTCGGGGATGGATATGGCGTTTCAAAAAACGCCATAACATATGCTTCCTCCAAATGGCCGGTGAAAATAAAGAGGCGGATTATGAAGCAACTGAAAACGTTACTTCCACGTTTTCAAAATACTTAGAAGTAAAGAAAGAGGAAAAGGTAGAGGAAAAGGAAGAGGAAAAGGTAGAGGAAGAAGTAAAGGTAAAGGAAGAGGAAAAGGAAGAGAAAGCAGAGGTAGAAATGAATATTGAACCAAAGAAAGAAGAAGAAGAAGAAGAAGAAGAAGAAGAAGGTGGTTCTTCAACCCATCTTCAATTTAAAGAACACGAAGTTGCGAAAGCTATAGACGTTATCGTTGCATGGTCAAAACAATATGATATTTCGATCCAAAAACATGCAAAAGCTATAAAAGATCACTTTCAAGAGCACGGAGAGTGAAAACAAAATGTACGCGTAAAAAAAAAATATATATATACATATAAAACTATTTAAGAATATTTCAATTTGTAGAAATCATATTACATAACGATTTTATACAATTTTCTTTAAATTAACCACCAACAAAATTAATCCGATTTACATCGTGTTTGGACTCATTTTAATTAGAAGGATCTCAGTATAATTTTCATAAAAATAAGTTGAAAATTACTGATAGTGAAATTCTCGTTATTGCATGTTCATTTTTTTCACTCGCGGCATCTCTTTGAAGTGCCGGGCCTCAACCGTCGCTGCTAGACGTAGTATGTTTATCTCGCTTCCTCCTATCGTATCTATTCTCTTACTCTGTCAAGTTTTGCTCCAGTCAATTCTCGGAATAGAAACGCGACCCTCCTCGCGAGAATTTCACTGCTGACTCCCGAACGTAGTGAAATTCAATAGAGCATTAGGCCGCATTCAAACTATGCAATAAAGTTTACAACTTTCCGTGCAACTTCGGGTCCGAATTTTTGTGTTTCTGGCGTTGCCTATACCAGGTATGCCGTCCTACAAAAGGTTTTCTACAAGAGAAAACCATTTTCTTTTTCGGATGGCATACCTGGTACGGGCACGGCCAGAAACACAGAAATTCGGACCCGAAGCTGCACGGAAAGTTGTAAACTTTATTGCATAGTCTGAACGCGGCCTTACTGTAGTTGTTGATCTCCTGTTTAGAAACGTGGGTCGAGCGAGAGTTAAGGTTCTGTTCACAACTGCATATACCAGACTCCAAACAATGTCTATTCAAACTCAATTATAAGTGAATGTTATTGATGTAATAAGTTAGGTTAGGATACATATTTACATCCAGCTACCAGTAGGCGGTCGGCAACGCTTTCGTGAAATAATAACAAATTATTTAAATAATATATAATACGCATTTTTAATGGTTTTTATTTATTTCTTAGAATTTCTTTTTATACTTGGCGGAGCACCACCACTTCCACTCGCTTGAGGGTAGACCAAAACCAGGGAGAGGGGATCTCCTCCGGACAGGGATGGGCTCGGCCACCATTGGACCAGGGATGATCCTGAGGGAGGATCCATGATCCAGCGAAGAGGGGATTCCAGCCGACATCGAACGAGAATCTTCACCGCCAAGCGCAGATCGACTCAAAGTCTGAATAAAGCAGTTTCAAGTTCCAAATCTTAAAAAAAAATGGCTAGTAAAAAGCATTATACCGAAGTGGATAAAAAAACATTTTTGGGAATAGTAAAAAAATTCTTGCACATTATAGAAAACAAAAAGAGCGATAGCTCTACATTAAAAAATAAAGAAGATGCATGGAAGGAAATCACGGAGCAATATAATATATCCACTGTGATTTCATCTAAGGTTTGTAGTATAAAGAATATTATTACGTGAAACTGGGAATGCTTATCACTATTTGGAATTTGGGATTTGTATATTATAACCGAACCCGTGCGCTCGTATTGGTCAACGTTTTTCCTTAATAATTCAAAAACGAAGCGACTTACATTCATTCTGGGACACTCTGTAATATAAATTTTATTTTTCAGAGGAATGTTACCCAACTTAAAAAGATGTGGAGCAATATGAAATCCCTTCGACGGAGCGCTATTATGAAGAATGAGGAGGAATTATTTAATTTGAAACTACGGCATGAAGAACTAAAAAACAAATTAGAAATAGAATTTCTAAGAGCGAAATATGCTTTAGAAATCCGTGCTGCAACCGCAGCAGCAGAAAAAGCGGAATTACAATTAAAACAACAACAGGAAGGTAATAAACATTAATGTTCATGAATAACAAAAAATATTTTGTAGGTATAAAAAATTATCTTTTCAATAATTTATTCATATAAAATTTTCTAATTTTCTAATACGTTCTAATTTCAGTTTCCTTTCATCATAATCCATCTTTGGAGCGTCAAGAATGATTGGTCTTCGTCGCTGCAGTGTACCATCCACGATCTCATCAATTTCATGCCTTTTGCATTTTGGGGAATGATTAGTAATGACCTTCTTCAAGACCCTGATCATTAATTGTGGTCGTAATATAATTAATTTCCTCAGTGGTGTTTATACTCGGATGATTGTCACCATCCACTTCGATCATATGGTCAAAGATATATTCGTCATGGAATGTGGCATCTCGTTTGTTCGTCAAATCTTCCTCTGCAAAATTAGATGAAAAAACACTCGGCGCAGTTTTCATTAACGTTGGTAACGTGGTAAACCAATACCTCTGTTTCCCTGTCCAAGATTATTGAATAACCAGCAATTTTCAATGTAATTGTCTGGATCCCTTGGAAATTTTATATGCAGGAGATTGTTGGTTGTGGAACACTCATAGTATCTCCCAGAATAAGTTACAATTACAGTAGATAATATTTATTTTTCTCTATTTATTTTAGTTGTAGTGATACTGATATATTTATGACTTGAAAATTAACAATTCTACAGTCCTTGAATTTTCGGCAATATTACATTCAAAACCGATTCTTTGCTAAACCAATAACGTCTCCTAAATTCTTCAGCATCATAACAATCAAACGGGTCACTTGCGTCTTGAATATATTTGTATTCATAGGTGTTCATACAATTATTATCAATGCTCTCGATATCATCAATATTCTCAATATCCGCAGTCAAATTCCATTTCGTACTTTCTTTTTCAACAATTCACCACAATTAATCAAGCTAAATCCTTCAACACTGCACAGTAACACCTTCGTATATATATGTATACCGCAGTTCACCAGAGTCCATAACTGCGAAAAGACCAGTTTTCGTTCTTCGCGCTTCTCCAGTGCGCATCTTCGCCCTGATTGGCGATACTTCCAAACGAAGTGGAAAGCGATTAGCGGAGAGCTCGCTGCGTTCCCCCACCATCTTCCAACCTGCGCGTCGCAGTAATGGACTCTGGTGAACTGCGGTATATATATATATGTATTGTTGATTCAAAAACATAACCTCAATTAAGCGAAATAAGAACTCGTTTTCTACAAATAAGGTGAACTTATTCAACTATGAATTCATAAGAACTTACGATTTTCTTAAGAATCAACTGTGAATCTACATCAATAAGCAATAATTTTGATAAGCTGATGCTTAAGGCGTTACTTATTCGGCGACTATGAATCTAACGGATACAATGTTGCGACTGTGAATACGGGCCCTAGAAGCGAAGTGCATTGGGTTGTAACCAGTTCTAACCTCTATGATTGCATTTTTTATAATATTTGATTAATTTTATATTATAAGTGAAACTTTAAAAGTTTTTATAATGAATCACTTCAAATATATATCATCTAGGTTAGTAATATATATTTCTCGTTAAAATATATTAATTTGTTTAATTTTTAAAGTTGTGACAAAAATCACAATGTACTCATTTTTTGTTTATATACAAATGTTATTACATATTAATGAAGTTAATTAATTAGCAGATGTTCATGGTGTCAGTTCAAAAGATTGCAATCTTCGTCATCAAATTCTACAATCCAAATACCACCTAGAATAGAACGTAAACCTACAGATATTTTAAATGTAAATATATTGTACAGTTTCTTATTGTATCCAATTTTTCGTTAATTCGTTTGTATAATTATATATGATGTTCTGTATATTAAAGGCTCTTGAAAGTACAATACCAAAGGATAAAATGGCAACTGGCTACGTGTATCATGATGATCCTTTCTTACTTCCAACAAAAAAACAAAATCATCGTATATATGCATTGTCGTATGAATCAGGCAAAAAAACAGCTATGTGGGTTCATAAAGCACATGGGAATCTATTTCCCCGAAATCTCTCTGAACCAATGATTAAAGTAAAGTTTAATCATACCTATATATATCATAAGATCTAACAGAAGTAACTTTATTTTTTATTGTATTTCCCAGGCATTTAAACCACCAATAAAATATACTCGTAAAGATCAAGTATCAGAAGAAATACTATTACAAGCCATGTCTGAATATAGATTATCAGATGCTGTTGATATTTATGAGTTATTAGAAACCAATGTTTCCAATAAAACAAAACAAGCACTTTTAGAATTGTTGTGCTTTTACAATTATGGAAATGTTCCATATAATACATTGCCTATTGAACACTGGTATTCTAAACCTGCAGTATTTATGTGGAAGTAAGTAATGAAGTAATAGTTAAAGATAAATGTACTATACAGTATGTTTCATTATGTTTAATAGCTTTATATTTCAGACATAATAAACAGGTTGATGACTTATATAAATTTTTAATAGAACAAGATCCTGAAACAGCAGCTTTAGCTCACAATGCTATGTTATGTGGTTTAGCAAAGTGCTCAAGAGTATGATGAATTAAATTTCTTTATAAAGACCTGCATAATTTAATAATATAATATATTATGGATTTACATTTTTAGATTGATGAAAGTTGGATGCTGTTTGAGAAATGTGAAAACGAAAATATTCCATTAACTGTTACTACTTACAATTACATTATGAAGATAATGATAGAAATTTATAATAAAAAAAATGAAGAAAAAGTAGCAAACTTATATAAATTACTTAAATCAATGGCCAAAAGAGGAATTAAACCAAATATTTGGACGTTGAATGCTGCTCTTAAACTGATTTCTACATCACCATCACTGGCAGCTGAAAATCTTATGAAACATTTATGTAAAGAATTTAAACAGTTAAATATAAAATTTTCGTTAGCTTCGTATCGTCATATTATAAAGATACTTGTAGAAAAAGGTAATTATGCTTCCCTCATATTATTTGTGTAGTAATTTTTTATACAGAATTATACGTTCCTTCAGGTGATTCTACATATAATGATTTTATGCATCTCCTACATACAGTATCAAAGGAAAATTTCACAATTCAAGATCCGATGGATGTTACATTCTTTAGTGTTGCTATGGAGTGTGCTCTTAAATGTTACAATGATAGAAAAGCTGGTGACATGATACACAAAATTTTTCTTACTGGGGATAATTATAAATTTATTTCAGATAGTGATGGAGTATGTTTTTATTTCAATATTATAGAATATATCTTATTAGTGCAAAATACTGTTAAATAACATATTTTATACACAATAGGATAATCTATATTACAATTCATACATAAGATTACTATTAAGGACAAGCACGATAGACGAATTCTTCAAATTTTATGAAGAGTTTGTTCCAAATGAACATATTCCAAGCGTGCGGTTATACACTGAAATTGTAAATGAGCTAAAATTTCACGAACAGAAAGCTGTAGCAAAATACGTAGCAAGGATATGGTCAGATATAACTCTATTTGGTTATATGAACCTTTCATTGAAGTTATTTGTCATATCGTTGATGGAAATAGCTTGCTTACCAGCCGAGTCACCTTTGAGAACAGTCTTTGTAGATGCAGCTTGGACTTGTTGGAATGACATTAAGGTTGGATGTTTATTTATCTGCTATATTTACGTGGTATATTAACAAAAAGAAAAAATAAGAGGCAATAATGTAAACATAAAAAACATCTTATTATAGATGGAAATCCAAAATAAATTACAAACGTATACTCCGGTTCAAACTGCGATGACGGGTTCTATCGTAATGATGTTACTATGCGGTAACCGCATAAATGAAAGTATGGACGTTTTATCGTACACCATTGAACAACCACATTTGTTTGTACCAACAATGACCAAAGAACAATTGACTAAACTATTTGAAAGCTATATTTCAAAGGACTGTATTACAGGAACTTTAGTGCGTATTCTTTCATTGTTTTTTTTTTTTTTAAATTTAAAATAAAACATATATGTCTTACATTTTTTTTACAGCTTGTTCTCCAATACGCTACAAATTTTGGATTTCCAGAAGCCACTGAGATGGCTAGGAAGTTGTATGATCACCCACAACTTACAGATATTGACCGTAATAAATTGATCAATTTAGTAGGGGAGGAAGCGTTGGATACTTTAGATAAATCGAAGTCATAATTAATTATGAATCAATACGATGAAAAAATATTTATAACATTACATATTCTGTATTATTTGTACAATTTGAAAAAAGAACACCATATTGAATCATTAAAAATATACAGAACTTGAGATCATTTCTTCGTTTAAATTTGCGTTATATGCGCAAAATTTTCAATCAGTTTGTCATTCAAAGAATAGAAATTACATACGTGATTGGTATGTATTAATGTCCTTGCCCCTCTAGCTAGGGTACGTATGATTAATAAATTAAGTTGTATGGCAGTGGGAGGTACTGTTCTCTCATCACTCAAATACTTATTTCCTGCATTGCATAGCTTAACATCATAACTCACCCATTCGCTTTAAAGGTTCAAGTGCTGCGATACTATCGATTCAGGAAATTTACGGGGCTACACAAATTACACGATCACACTATTTAAACAGGTTTTTTGAAGATATTCGGTGGAAACTTTCATTGTTACCAGCAGGATGGTGGACGAAAAAGAAGACGTCCGTCTTACCTTGGAATCTGTTCGCGAACTGATAACAAAAGATGAACCAGACGTAGAAATTACAAGTTTAGAAGAGGAACCTGGCTCAGGAAGGGGTGACAATTACACATCTGTGCTGTATCGTGTTCGAGCTAAAGGACGTAAACGGATAACAAACGATAAATGGAGTAATTATGAACTTGCGATTATTTACAAAGTTTTACCTCGATCAAGAGAACACCGCGAAGCTTTTAAAAGCGAGTTACTATTTCGAAACGAAGTAGCATTTTACACGTACGTGTGGCCAGCTTTGAACAAATTACAAGCAAATAGTAAACAAGTTTTTAGCGGAGTTGCTAAAATATATGCGGCACAGATTGATCTTATTGCTATGGAAGATTTACGAGAAAGAGATTTTAAAATGGCAGATAGAAGGAAAGGGTTACAACTTGATGATTTAAAACGAGTATTGAAAACTTTAGCGGGTTTCCATGCGCTTAGTTTGACTCTCAGAGAGACAAGGCAAGTCGAATAATCTTCTTTATTATTACGAGTTAAGTTCATATTTCAATATCTGATTGTACATGTATTACGTATATTACAAAGGCCGGAGGAATTTACAAAATTGTCGGATCCAAACGAAGGTCAAGGTGTAAAAGAGGCTCTTTTCCGACCAGAAAATGAAGATTGGTACCGTCAATATTATCAAGTTGCTGCTAAGAATGCTATTAGAATGGTGTCCGATAGTCTTCCTAGTCACATGGAGCACAGAAGGGTTGAAATAATGGAGAAATTGCAAGCGTTTCTTGACGACCAAGTATTTTTTCGCACTATGTGCGAATTAGTAGCTACGCAAGGCCCTCTTACCGTGTTTTGTCATGGTGATTGCTGGACTAATAATATTTTATTTAAAGATAATACTAGTCCAAACGAAGAAGTAAGTATTATATACTAGTTTTTCAAATCATTTAAGCAAAATTTAGTATTCACTTGAATGACAGTATCAAAACTTTTACGCTGCGTTGCATAGGAATCAAGGACGAATAGTGAGTTTAAAAACATTCTTGTTTTAGTTCAATTTTATTATGTTAATTTGTAAGACATTCCTCTTACGATTTCTTCCCTTTTCGTCGAATGCAAACGAATAGTTTAAACAAGTTTAAATGAACTAACATTCTCGTGTCTTTGCAGGTCGTCTATTTAGTCGATTTTCAACTAGCTCGAGTTGGTTCACTTGCCCTTGATCTTGCAAACTTGCTGTACTGTTGCACAACTGGGGAAATTAGACGAGTTCATATGATCCAACTTCTCCAACACTATCATTTTCATTTAATGTCCTCATTACATACGCTAAATCCAAAACAACCACCAAAAGATCCTTCTGTGATGTGGGAATTGTAAGTATCGAACTACGAATCTTGTTTGCGAGAAATAAATGTCTCAAACAATAGTTCTTGAAACATTACTATTTTTGTTTATTTAAATTTAACATTGTTAACCATGTATAGATTAGACGAGGAAATGCGACGTTGTGGACGATTTGGTATTGGTCTTGCATTAGATATGTTACCAATTAGTACCTGTGAAAGCGAAGACGCTCCAGATTTATACGAAAAGTCGGGAACAAACGAAATAAAACAAAATATGCGAGCACCACCACGCGGAGGAACGGAATGTGCACGACTCATGACTGATTTAGTTATAGAACTTGTGAATAATCATGCTTTATAGCTTGGACATTAATCTTTATAAATAATTCAAGTATTTTTCTTACGATATAACGAAACAAGTCTGGGAAAATACCGTGTAATCTTATACAAAGGAGTATACACATTTAAAGGTTCGTATAAGTATCATTACAAATTGAAATTTGTACTATGATGTAATTGTAATGTTAAACAAAAGAAAAATATATATATTAAAAATGATCATTTTTCAGTTGAACTAAACGTGAACGAATAAAACCATTAACACAAGAAAATATTATTCTATATTGCAGAAATAATATATTCAGTATTAAAAATTTATATCTCTACATTCTTCGTGTTTCTGAATAAAATGATAACACCATACAATTTTTTCGCGATCAATAACTATGTTTTATAAATAACTCACAAATGAAATTATGCCTGTTGCGGGGGCGTGTGTGCAGGTGGTTGTTGAGCTGCCGCTTGCGGGCTAGGTGGTTGTTGTTGCTGTTGTTGTTGCGCAGCAGGTTGCCAGGCAGGATGTTGATTTTGTTGTTGTTGTTGCTGTTCCTGAGCTAAACGCTGATGCGCTTGCTGTCTAGCTCTAAATTCAGCGGCTTTCAACTGTTCCAAATGAAACTGTTGCCTTTCGGTGATAAGCTGTTGCCGCTGATATTCAAGTCCCTCCCGTTCTCGTTCCATTGTAGTTTCCAATTCTTCGAAGTGACGTAACTTAATTTCCAATTTTTTCATTTGTGTTTCAACGAGCAGCGCTACTAGAGATTTAATTTTACGTTCTTCCACGGCCGCCAAATGTTTTGCCTTAACAGCGGCCGCTGCTAACGCGGCGGCAGCTGCTGACTGAAGTTGAGCGTCTCGTACAACCTTTTAATGCAATTAAATGAGAAAATGTAATAAAATATTACAAGGATTTGTAACATTAATAATACGAAAGAACAATTTACCTTGTCTTTCTTTTCTTTCGCTTCCATCGCTTCAGCATCCATAGTAGATTTCGTATCTTCTTCTGTCTCTTTAAGATCTTCTTCCTTCTTCGGTATTTCTAATTGATTTTGATCAACTTCGGCTTCTTTAGGTTTCTCCTGTTCCTCTTTCTTAGATTCTATCGAAGCCGGAGTCGCCGAATGCGGAGAAGTAGCCACGGTCGTTGGTACGCTTCCAGTTGTCGAAGGTGCTGTTGCATCATCTGGTGGTTCGGGTGGTCCAGTACCAGCTATGCCTGACTGTGCTAATCCCGCAGCCGGATCAAACTTACCTAAACATAAGAAATGATTATAAAACAGAATCATTTAAGGTATATATAATAGAAAAAGAAGACGATTAATTACCATCAGAATTCGCGCTAGCTTGAACATTTCTTAAATGTTGATCTAATAAAGCGGCTGGTACTTGATCCTTAATGGCTGCAAATTCTTCCATAGCAGCTTTAGCTGCACTCGCTGCAACCCTAGGATCAACAACCGAAGCCAAGAATGCAACAGTACTCATGACTGGGTTGCCAGCTTTGGAGAAAGGTACCGGTTGATAAGCCAATGGGCCTAAACCTTCTGGTCCACCTTCTTCCAAATATGGATCTTCTATAGGTAGTCGTAAGAAATGCAAAATACATTCATCTTGCGTTCTAGAACCAACGTGTTCGCAAACTTTATTCCAATCATCTTTGTGTAATTCCAATCCCTCTAATAACAAAAGTGTTTCTTGTTCCGTCCAGTCACGAGTAGCGCCAGCTGCTTGTTTATTCTTTAGAACCGCTGGTTTCCTCGAATACTGATCAATTTTCAATCCGAAGTTCGTCATCGCACCGGCCGAAACCTTTTCTTCCGTTCCAATTACATTCGATTTCTTTTCTAAATCCAGCAACGTTTTTGCGGCTGATGGTTGAGGTGTTTTTGGAGGGTTGGGATTAACGGGTGCTAAGCCAGAAGGTGTATCCGATAATACATGAAAGTGCGATGTTGGCGGAGGTCCCATGGGTGTTGGTCTTGACTCTGCGTCTACTTGATAATTGATAAGTCCCCATTGTTCTAGAAATGCATGTACACGCATGATTGCGCATACATCACCTGCCAAATTGCGTCTACAGGCTGTTGATGTAATGTATTCCGTGGGATTTAATCTGTAGGTATCGATCATAAAATTCCTATACGCCAGATAAATTTCTGGCGTTTTAGATTTATTTTTACCATTAAAGAATTCAGATAAAGCTCTCTTTTCGATAGTATGGATCGAATTATAATCAAACCAAGCCGAATAACTTGGAACGACGATATGATGTGTTTGTTCTGTAACGTTGTCTTCCGGTTCGTCTCCTTTATTACCTTCTCCTCTTTCCTTACTTGTATCTCGTTCTTCTCTATCTTGAGTACTTTGAGAACTTCCCTTGTCACCTTCCATCGGTTCGTCTAAGTCCGCCATGTTACCGGATTTAAGTGGTTGAAGTTCGTTATCTTGTTTTTTACTTCCCGTTGTCGTTAACGTAGTACCGCTTGTTGGAACGTTACCTTGACCTGTAACGGGTGGATTCGTAGGTGTAGCCACTACTTCCACAATCCGAGGTTCCGCCGGTGGATCTTCCATTCCTTGAGTGAGATCGTCCTCCTCTTCTCCGCCGCGTGATTTTTTTGGCGCCGCAAGCGACGACGAGGACGAGGCACTCTGAACACCCGATGGTGCTCTTCCACTTTTACGTTTTGCTAGTTTAGGAGGCGGACTGGGAGATCGTTTTCTTTTAGGTTTCTTTGCGGAAGGTGGAGGATGAGATGGTTGAGCCATTAAATCCTCCACCGATAGCCTGTACTTATGTATTTTCTTCTGACCATTTTCATCCATTTCATAATCTTCTTCGTTCATCCACTCGTTATACTGATCTAAATCTAACGCCCATGTCGCGGATACTTTATATACCGATTTCATGTTTGTACTTGTAAGCGTTCCTTCTGGAAAATCCCACGGAAGATCTAAAGCAGTCCAAGAATCGTAACTATCTGGAAAATAGTACCAATGAAGTAGAACGGATCTCTCGCGCCTCATACAAGGCCGCGCATATTCCTCCTCTAATGGATCTACTGGAGGGTAAATTATGTGCGTAGCATCTGTTTCATTTTCGGCAATAGTGCCTTGATGTCGTCGAACTGCTTCCTTTACTTTTACAGCTGTTGATTTGTCTACATCAGGTCTTACGTATACAATTGGTATAAGCATGCACCTGTTTTGCACTAGGGCTCTTTCAGCTGCCATCAACATTTCCACTGTCCTATCCATACGAGATCCTGACTAGAAGCAAAAGTGTTTTATATATTATGTTAACGTAATGTAAACGTCAATATTTACCTTTCCAACAGGAAAATCAAATCTACGCCATCCTTGTTCTTGTTTAAAACGATATGCTGTAGCAAGAATATGACATAAGCCACCTCCTGGTTTAAAATCTAAGAAACATTTCATCTAAAAATACCATGAATTATTTTATACTTTTAAAATAATATTATATCTTTAAAGTAATATTTAATACTACTGATACATAAATACATACAGGAAGCCTTGTCATTGGAGGTTTTGAAACATTTTTTCCTAAATTATCTTCTTGAAATTGTAACAATTGGACTATCAGAGTAGCTAAACTTTTATTAGTAGGAGGATCCGTTTGTACATACTGGAAAATATTAAAAAATATACAGACAGGATATACAGAACAAGTTGCAAATGTCTGCATGCATGTACGGTTTATTAATATTTATATCACTTCAGAATATAAAAGCAAGAATGATTATGAAGTTTTACAAGACGTAGTAAAATCATTCAGCGTCAAAACATACTAATATAGCGCAAATGTAAATTGTTGACTAGTTGATCACAAACTTAGACGCCGGGCTTTTAGACGTACCTTCTTGCAGTTTTTCAGGAGCCACTGTTTGACTCCATCGAGTTGTGTGAGGATTTCTTGCGATTCAAAAAATTTTGTGTTGGGTCCACCGTCCTTTTTAGGTCCTAAAGCAAGCATCTTTTATAAAATATTAAAAAGTTGTAAGATACACTACAGAAAGAACGCCGCATTTATTGCAAACATGACACGCCTCTGAAGTTGGTTAGAATTACATTATTCCTATGAATACAGTATCTGGAAGCAAGTTCACAAAATTTTTTTGTGAATTAATCAGGATATTTTTCATCAAACATAGCAGTAACTCTTTCTTATTAAAAATATAAGAAAATATTGTTCTGTTTTATGTACATTTATAACCTTAACTGATAATACATATTTATTGTTAACACTGAACGAAGAGAATAGTGACTTTAACAATTGGCAAACCTGTTCGCCATGGGATTTATTATTGCTTTGTAATTCAACTATTGTAAACTAATCCTTGCATTAGTTTGAATTTTAAATTGTATACTTATTGTAAAAGTATTTAAACCACTTGATATATAAATATTTTAATAGAATAAACGAAGATTATTGATGTATGGTTAAAGTATTAATTTAAAACATGTAATAGGTAAGTTTTATACAAGCAGTTGTTAAAAGAATTGTATTGGTTATTTTTATTCTTTATTTATGCTAATATATTTTCAGGATTGATAAGTATGTCCGACAAAGAAGAACAAGTAGATGTGAATGAAGAGTTTACAAACTTATTATTTGCTGAAGAAAATGCTCAACATATAGGTTATACAGAAGGTTATGAGATTGGCAAGAAACAATTAACAGATGGGTTTCATCTTGGATATCATAGAGCTAGTTTATTAGCTGCACAATTGGGATATTACAGTGGTATCTTGGAACAATACTTGAACACTAATAAATGTAACTCAGAGAAAAGTGTTCAAATTGCACAGGAACTTTTACAAGATATTTATAATTTTCCCAAATTTAATGACAAGGCTACAGATATATCAAAAACCATTGATAATATTAAATTTAAGTATGCAAAGTTTTGTTCATTAGCAAAAATATGTTCATTATATCCAGAAGGAGATAAGCTTGATTTTTAGTAAAATAAAAATCGCATATTTAAACAAATAGAAAATTAAAAAATGTGTCAAATGAAATATCATACTTACTCTAACTATGTATGATAAACATTTTGATGAAGTTATATGTTTTATAAATACTTATGAGAAGTTGATAAATTGTCATATAGTTGATTTTATTACTGAAAATTTATGGGAGACATGTTTACCAGACCCATTAAGGTCAGAATTAGAAAAAAATGAAATAAATTGTGATTATTGGACAGAAAATGACAATTATCCTATATTAAATAATTTTATAAAATTGACAAGGTCTCTTTCTTTGCAATCATGTTCCATAGAAATAGATTCAAAGGAATTTACACATGTGTTACCAGATGTTGGTAATTGGAAGAAATTTAAATGCAAAAGTGCAAAAATGGATTTTATGAATGCTAAGAAATTACATGAAGTTGAATCCCTTGGAAATATTATTGGAACAATTGCAGTATCAACTGATAATCTAGTAATAGACGCTGGTGCTGGTAAAGCATATTTGTCAACATTTTTGGCAGAGAATCATAAAATTCCAGTTCTTGCAATAGATTCTTCACAATCATGTAGCAATGGAGCAATTTGTAAACAGAAACAATTAAAGAAGAAAATGACATGCTCTCAAAATTTGGTACCAACAGTAGTTTCACATATGTTAAACAAAATTTTATACTACAGTAATACAGATAAGTCATGTTCTGTTTCAGGTACAGTATGTAGTAGAAGAAATAAATGAGAAAACTAACTATATTAACATGATTAAGCAACGTTTTTGTGATTGGAATATAAATAGGAATCTCATATTAACTGGTTTACATACATGTGGTTCTCTAACTCATTCAGCTATTAAAACATTTTTGGTTACTGAAGATATTAGAATTTTGTGCATCGTGCCTTGTTGTTATCACTTGACAAATGAAACGTTTAACAGAAGGATCAGTTTTTCTAAGAATGCTAGAATGTTAGCTCAACAATGCATTGAAAGAAGCACAAAAAATAAAATTATGCCATCATCATTATTCTATAGAGCAATTTTACAAGTGATCCTTCGTTCTATGGGTACACTGTTCCTCTTAATTAATATAATTTCATTATTTGTCATAGTATGTACTATTTTCTTTTCTTTATTTTTGCTAATAGGCATCTACGATGCCAGAGTAGGTCGTGGAGGGCCTTTAAATGATTTCACAAGTTACGCGCGATGGGCATTCTCACGAATTGGAGTAAAACCAGAAAAAGTATAACAAAAAAATCGACGAGTATAAATATTTCTATCAATATTCTTTTTTTAACAAACATTTATTTCCTCAGATACTGTCAGAGGAGGAGTTGATAAATGTATACCAACTCTATATGCCTATTATGAAAAAATTTTATGTATTTCAAATGTTAAGAGTACATATTGGTCTTGTATTAGAAGCAGCTATTATGCTCGATAGAATGATATTTTTACAAGAGAGCAATGGGTGCTCCAAACTTGCAATACTACGTTTATTCGATCCTGTGTTATCACCAAGACATTATGGTATTATTGCAATCAAATAGGAACAAAAAAGTGAATTCAGGATAGGAAAACTGACTAAATATGAAGTAAGATTTGTGTATGAAAAGAAATGTTACATGCAATATGACAATGTTAATTTATTTATTAAAAAAACCTTCAGTATAAAAACATTTCGTTATTAAATGTATTTTGCAGTAATGAAGTTACGTATCGTCGTCTTCGGTGCATTGGAGGTAATCCATAACGGATGAGTATCCTTCCTCTTGCGCTACAGGCGCTAAAATTCCTGTAGGGCGTAAACCGCTTCTCGTTCGGCATATACTGCAGTTACATAAACCGCGGCAAGGTGGGCAAGCCCAATCCTATAAATTTTAAACAATAAAAGAAATAAATATAGAAGAGCTATAAAAAGTATTAATATAAGAGTCAAAGGCATACAGGATCTTTTAATGCTTCCATAGCACTTTCACCGTATCTTCCTCTTAAACAAGGTCCACAAAATTGTCCTCTAATTCCGACACATTCTCCAGAGCGACATACTGTTTTTGTATCCAAGGTTTTTTGTCTGCACTGATGGCAACTGGTTCCATTAATTTTACAATACTCCTTTAAAGAGCTTTTTTCTGCTATATTGTCTAGCATCTCCTCTGTTATTTCATCAACCGATGGTATGGTATTTGGATCGTATGGGGTCTTATTTACTTTATAAACCATTTTTTTTGCTATATATTCTTCAAAACTATCATCACTACGTTCCTCTTGCTCTTCATCTACATCACAGACTCCCATTTTCATTAGATCAATTGTTCGTTGAAAAGGTTTTGCCCAAGGAAATAGGACTTGCAATTTAGGTTTATTACTTTTAGGTTCAATTAAATCTTCGTCCAACTCATCTTGTAAATTATTTGAGTTATCGTTACTTTTATTCCTGGAACTACTTCTAGTGTTATATTTTTTCCGAAATTTAATTTTTGCGCTATTAAAATAAGAACGGGAAGTGGTTCTGCGTCTTTTTCTTGGTGGTTCATTCTCCGAATTATCTGTATCTTTATATTCCTTTACCAGTTCTTCTATCTCATTTTTTTGTTGCTTTAAATCTTTGAAAAACTCTGCAAACTGTAAGTTTAAATGTACAGAAACACATTCGTTAAAGGTTAAAATGAGAATCAGAAATACTTACAATAGCATTCTTTTCAGCGATATTTCTTTTTCGAATTTCATCATAATCTTCTTCACTCATATTAAAAGTTTATTTTTATTTCAGGTTTCGCATACAAAGTATAAAAATCACAGCTTTCAAGAAACAAGTACCGAGTGTTTGAACCGCATAGGAGCGTACCTAGCAACTAGTATAAATACATAAAATCATGGTGAGCCGAATAGTCAGTTTGGCGGGTAAAACTGACACAAAGGCCTCTACATAGTTGTGTATACATACATACATACATACATACACATTTCTATACTTATAAAGGGAACCTGGCTGATATATATTTACTTTCAAAAGAAATTACCTGTGTAAGTTTTTATATTTTATAAATATGGGATAAATCCAGGCCGGCCCTGAGATTTCGGGGGTCCGAGGCGAGCTCCGAAAAAGGGCCCCTTCACATATATGACATAAAAACAAAAAAACCTCAAATAAAATTTATACAATTAACATTAAAACTTGTGTAACTAATTTTGATTTGCATTTACATCGATTAATATTCAAGTAAAATATAGACGCAAAATCTAAAATGGTGATCAATAATACTTACCGGTCTTATGGGGGTCCTGGACCTTGGGGGGGGCTCTAGGCGGCTGCCAGGCAGGGCCGGCCCTGGACAAATCATATCTGTAAAACCGTAACAGATTTAATTTTAAAATAATGAAGCTGAGTGTATTCAATTTATGATAGCTCATGATACATTTTTGTAATGTTTCAGTAATGTTCATGTACAATGGACTCTTATTGTCTCTTTTAAAGATAATAGAAATGCCCTATGTGCATTGCTACTTTAAATAATGAGAATATGACGTGTTTCATACTGGTAAATCTAACGGAATGGTAACTGTGAGATCGTCGATAATGCAGAGCCTGCGACAACTACTTATCAGTCTTCATTATATCGATAAGAATATTTGTAGATAAGTACGTAAGTGTCTCTACCCATTTTTCAAATGATAAAAATATTGCGATGTTTGTAATATATCAATATAACATATAATTACTGCGGCAAATTTGTCGTAAAATCTGATTAAAATATTCTTTTCTTATTTAATAGTTAGTTGTCTGATGTCAGAAGAAATCATATAAAACAATGTTGCACGAAAGAAATTCAACTTATCGTATTTACTTTTGAATACAAATTATCACGGTTTTTGGACTCAAATAGGCTATTGGACTCAAACGGTTGATGGACCGTATAATTATATCGTTTTTCTTATCTTCGATATGAAGAGCGCGTAACGTGACCGTACGTACCGAGGAGAAACGAATAAAACGCGCGACACGACTAGAAACAACTAGACACGTCAAGACATATTCAAGTCAACCGTGTTATTAACCGGTTTGGAAAACGGGTAACATCGAAGGAATCATCGAGTGGAAACATTGATGTGCCAGTTTTACTAATACAATCATCGGTTTCTGCAAAGGTAGAAGGCGTACAGTAATTGAAAGAAAGACGAGGTATCAGTGACACACTGTTTTGATATAGCGATAACGATGCAGTTGTGATCATTTTTCCGGTAAGCATTAATACTCTTACTGATAATCATTTTTTTCCTTTCATTCTTAACAAAAGCTATAAGTACTTACATTCTCCGACTGAAAATCATTTTGCTAAGCGGTTACTGATAATGCATGTATCGTTACGCTTTTAAAAACTGCAATATCACATCTCGCTAAGATACATCTGTTTTATCGAAATAATACGATATGTTTTAATTATCTAGATTAATGCTCGGAGGAATTTGGAAGATCAGCCATTGATAAGTAACGAATTTTTTACATCGTTGAACCATCGAGCTACTATTGATCAAGATGTTTAAGAAAATTGGAGGAATATCTAACAAAAAGCTTACGAATCTATTGTGCCAGGTAATGAAACGGCACGCGGCGGCAGGTGTAAAGATAACGCGTCTCGTTCCTTATCGTTGAGGAATGTTTGTGAAATAATTTGATTACATAAAATCATAATTGCCTAATTTATTATTCTTTTATCACATTTCTAAATGCCGTTAGTACCATGTATCTTATATACAAATGATATCTCAAAATGATTTCTGTTAAATTTTGTATCAAAGGGTTAATCTGGTTTAGTAATGAATAAATGAATACAGTTGAACATTATTGTATATTAAAATTATGATTGTAGAGCGGACAATGTCGAAGTATCACGTCGCAGGAGATTTTCGTGCGGGAATCGAAATACGGCGCTCACAATTATCATCCTCTTCCCGTGGCAGTCTGTAAAGCCGAAGGGGTTTTCATGTGGGACGTTGAAGGGAAACGTTACTTCGACTTTTTAAGCGCTTATTCCGCTGTTAATCAAGGCCACTGTCATCCCAGGATCTACAAAGCCTTGATCGATCAAGCAAAAGTATTAACGTTAACTTCGCGAGCCTTTTACTCCGACGTGTTAGGTGAATTCGAAGAATACATCACAAAACTTTTTGGGTAAGTAACAAACTGTGTTGATTGTTTGCTCTACCTGCTATAATCATATTCTGCTTGGCATCTAAGTACTCATGATAGGGTAATTAGTAAGATGGTATATTATCTTCAGATACGAGAAATGGTTACCGATGAACACGGGAGTAGAAGGTGGTGAAACTGCTTGCAAATTAGCACGTAAATGGGGTTACACGTGCAAAGGGATTCCACAGTATCAAGCGAAAATCATTTTCGCAGAAGGTAATTTTTGGGGAAGAACGATGAGCGCTGTGTCCTCGAGCACGGATCCTACCAGTTACAGCGGATTTGGTCCTTTCATGCCTGGGTTCGAGGTCGTTCCTTACGATGATCTTGTAGCACTTGAACAAGCTTTGGCTGACCCTCACGTTTGCGCTTTTATGGTGGAACCAATACAAGGTGAAGCTGGCGTTGTCGTGCCAAAGGTACGATCCATAGTTTCCAACGTTCGATCAGTTATCACGAACTTTGCTCTTCTAATTTTTATGTTTCAATGTTATCTTTTTTAAGGACGGATACCTGAAAGGAGTTAGAGAATTGTGTACGAAACATAACGTTCTGTGGATAGCGGACGAAGTACAAACTGGTTTAGCTAGAACGGGTAAACGGTTGGCTGTCGATCACGAAAACGTGAAGCCAGACATTTTGATCCTCGGAAAAGCTCTTTCCGGTGGCTTCTATCCAGTTTCCGGAGTATTAGCCAACGATTCCGTAATGCTGACCATAAAGCCTGGCGAACACGGTTCGACATACGGTGGCAATCCTTTAGGATGCAAGGTCGCTCTCGAAGCTCTTCGCGTTCTCGAAGAGGAAAAGCTAGCAGAGAATGCGGAAAAAGTTGGTCATATTTTTAGAGAGGAACTTGGAAAACTTCCGAAGGATATCGTAACCCTGGTACGAGGAAAGGGTCTCCTCAATGCAATCGTTATTAACGAAAAGATCGACGCTATGGATATCTGTTTGAAACTAAAGGAAGCAGGTTTACTCGCGAAACCAACGCACGGACACATTATCAGATTGGCTCCACCGTTGGTTATTACCGAATCACAAATACGAGAGTGTGCTAATATCATTTGTACAACTATTTCTCGACACGCAAATCAATAGGCGCGTCTTTTGCTCGAAGCTACTTCGTTGCAATTTTTAACGGATCTCGTCTGAATAAATTTCTTTCATTTATAATCAGCGAATTCTTTTGAAACGTATCATCTTCCTTGTGCGGATAAACCGAAGAAATACAATTGAAAGTCGTCCGGTCTTGATGAAATTCAATGAAATATGTGTGCGCTTATCGGGACAACGGGATTGTTCGAATGCACCCGCCGAGGTTATTATCTTTGGAACACTATGAAGCAAGAAAAATTGGTCGACTGGTTGCGTTAGTGGTTATTAATAGCCAAACGCGATATCGTCGTCCTATCCTCTTTTCAATGTTTATTCTGATGTTTGACGGCCGTCGTTATTTACATAAGCGCGATATCTTCTCGTGTTTGAAAAAGCAAACGTTGAGACTTCCAGCGAAGAAATGCATTTCTTTTCGAACATACTTGTAATAATTTTTATTTCATCAATTTATGCTATTGGGTAATAATCGTGAGACCGTCCAAAGAATGCTGACGGATTAATGATAACAATGTTGTCGGTAATTTTCTCCTTAATCACATAACCCTTTCTTTTCTTACGATGACCTTCGCATAATGCAACTTAAAATTAGTCTTACCAATAACAGCATCTTACTTAGGATCGAATATCAAAATTTCCTGCAACATTGTTCGTAGTTATAAGAATAACGATAGTTCTGCAGATTGGTAGGAAAAATCAGGGGTTGTTGAACCATCCGCGCACCGGTGTACTTATCATTTCCGGATCAGGCGATCATAAATGACGGCGCGGAGTATTTTTTGAGCACGTCACCTTCGATTAATACACATTGTTTATTGTTTTTGACTCACAATTATAAAACGTAATTTACAATTAGCACGCAATCGGACGCAAGAATAGTTCAATGATTTTCTGTTAGAGGCGTTTATTGGACATTTTAGTTAATTTGTTCGCGTTATCAGAGTTGATTAAAATACAAATAAGTTGGTAAATCTAATCTAGAATTTGACAGCGAGTCATCAAATACGCGAATACAGAGACGTAAGAACACACGCAAATAAGACAATCATTGTTACCTTCGACTCAAGCGAAGTTTCTGGCGCACCGAGCAGTAAATTTGTAAGCGCAATATTTCTGAGAATGTTCGAAGTCAAGAATGCACGTTAAATTTCTTCTAACCTCTTTCTCTTCCGTTCGCGCTGTTCTTTTCTATCTGTGGGAGAAATGAAAATGTTGGCTTGAACTGATTTATTTTCCTGATAACGATTAGATGTCGTATCGTCAAATGTCCAATTAACCAATTATGTGTTTTTGCTAACATTCCTTTTTTTTATAACGGTGTTTAGATCGATTCGGAACAGGCCTCGAAGGAGTCTACGGCCTTAACGCGTTGGCGCCACATTAAAGCGTGTCCCGTTCATTATCAGATATGACTTCTTCGTGCGGTTGTATCGTAGCATTTATGTATTCTAAATCCTACCGACCTATCAATTGTATACAAAAACATCCCGTGCAAATAAGCAATATACCTCCCCTACCCTTTATCGTGCCGATATAAATGTAAGACTGAATGCGAAATTCAACACAGTTTACTTTCTTACATTAACAAAGCAATATTTACAGCATTAGCAAAGCGATACATTGTCTTTGTTTCTTGGGCTTTAGGTGTTTTCCGACCGATCTTGTCTCTTTTAACCGAGCATTGGTAGTTGTTTCTTTTTAAATCGATAGCGATGCATTCGACGAAATCGATCGCCGTTATGCTAACGAGAGAGCTGGGCTCGAAAAGATTTCTGAGTTCCCAAGAGCTGATCGAACGGGACAAAAAGTACGGCGGTAGACACTTTGAGCCACTTCCGGTTGTTCTCGCGAAAGGCGAGGATGTTCATTTGTGGGACGTCGAGGGTAAACGTTACCTCGATTTCCTCGCCGGTTTCGCGACGGTCAATCAAGGTCACTCTCACCCACGTTTGGTAAAGGTAATGTGCGAGCAAGCAGGGAAATTGAGTCATACGTCCAGAGCTTTTTACTCGGAGCCCCACGGTGACCTAGGAGAATACCTGACCAAGCTTTTGGGATGGGATAGATTCTTGCCCATGAACACCGGTACGAGAATAGAAATTAGGATCGTGATATGGTTCTGTGATATCCTTTCCGCGAAAAAAGGTAACCAGGGCCCATCGTCTCTCTCGTTGCAGGGGTCGAGGCCGGCGACACAGCCATTAAGGTAGCCAGACGCTGGGGATACAGGGTGAAAAAAATACCGGATCAACAGGCGACCGTTGTTTTCGCCGAAGGAAACTTTTGGGGTCGTTCGATCGCCGCGTTATCGGCCTCCACCGATCCAAAGTGTTACACCGATTTTGGGCCTTACGTCCCTCGCTTCGACAAGGTGCCATACGACGATCTCGAAGCCTTGGAACAAAAGTTTAAGGAAGATCCAACGGTCTGCGCGTTCATGGTGGAACCGATTCAGGGAGAAAGAGGCGTTGTTGTACCTAAAGTGAGTTCCAACTCTAACGATATAATCACGGAGGCCAGAAAGAAAATTTCTCCTTTTCGTTCCGACAGGAAGGTTATTTAGAAGGCGTACGAAATCTTTGCGACAAGTACGACGTGCTGTGGATCGCCGACGAAGTTCAGACCGGCTTAGGAAGAACCGGTAAACGGTTGGCCGTCGATCACGAGAATCAGAGGCCGGATATTCTTGTCTTAGGCAAAGCACTGGCTGGGGGAATGTATCCTGTTTCCGGTATCTTAGCGGACGACGAGGTAAATTTGCTCCCGCTTCGTTCGTTCTATCCAAGAGTAAACCTTTTTAACGACGAGTTTCATTTTTATCAGATAATGCTGTGTTTGGAAGTCGGCTCGCATGGCAGCACTTTTGGCGGGAGTCCGCTTGGGAACAAAGTAGCTCTGGAAGCGGTTAAAATCGTAGAAGAAGAGAATCTAGCTGAAAACGCGTGTAAACTTGGAAATGTTTTATGGGAAGGCTTGGAAAAGTTTCCGAAAGAAATATTCACGGAAATTCGGGGTCGTGGTTTATTGATGGGCGCGGTACTTAATAAAGGTATGCGACATGATGGCAACCCTTCTTTCACCGTAAGCTATAATTACGGTAGCATTAATTTCATTTTTGTTTTCTCAGACTTTGCCGATGGTTGGGACGTTTGCTTGAAATTGAAGGAGGCAGGTTTGCTCTCGAGACCCGCGCATGGACAAATACTGAGGCTCTCGCCACCGCTTACTATTAAAAAAGAGCAAATCGAAGAAGGTCTTCATATACTAGCTACCGTTCTTAATAGTTACAAGTGAGATAATTCATTTGGATTACTTTTCGATAAGTCAGCGATGTCTCGTGTTCGACGAAGGTACATACGTATAATGTTTCTAGTCTGCTCAAAGTAGAAGAAACTGTTGAAACATAGCGTACAAAAGTGTTTTACATAAAACGATGTATTTTTAATATCAAATATAAATTTTATATGTACACGCGTTACGTTTGCGATTCGTGCCTTTTTAAATGCCTCGTCAGGCTGAATGCTTGCGAGAACAATTGATTACATTGATGACATTTGTACGCTTTGGTACCGTTGTGCAATATTAAATGCCTCTTCAGATGGCTCGCCAGTTTGAATCGTTTCCCGCACAGTCGACACTGATGTTGCCTAAGAGACGTATGCGACGCCTGGTGATTCTTCAGGTGGCTCGACTGTGAGAAACGCTTTTTACATATTTTACATTCGAATGGTTTTATCTTTGTATGAATCCTTAAATGTTCCGCCAGGTTGCCCTTCTGTACGAAACACTTGTTGCAGTATTCGCACTTGTGCGATCTCGTTGCTTTGTGCGTTCGCAAATGAATTTTCAGATTGTAGCTTTGATTAAATCTCTTATCGCATATCTCACATTGTACCACACCTTTCCCAGTATGAAGTCGTTCGTGAGCCTTTAAATTCTTTAACAATCGGAATCTCTTCTTACAAGTGGAACACTCGAAGAATTGACCCCCCTCGTTACTCGTGATACCATCGCGTTGCTTGTGGGTTTTTACGTGTTCGCGTAAGTATGATGGATAGGCGAAAACCTTGTCGCATAATTTACACGAATGTACGTTTGTTTTCGTGTGCAATCGCATGTGCGCGTTCAGTTTGCTCTTAGACGAGTAAGCCTTTTCGCAATCGGAACACTTGAAAGGCTGTTGATTAGAGTGCGACAATCGATGGGTCAATAATTTTGACTTCTGAGAGAACAGTTTAGAACATAGTTCGCACTTGAATTTTTTAAATTGCGCATTCGTCAGATTTTCTTTTTCAATGTTTTCTTTGTAAACGAGGTTCGAACATAACCGATACCCATCGATGCTCTCCCTGTTGTCCGTATGCTCGTTACCTTTTGAAAATCGAACGAGCGAACGCGAATCAGCAACATAGGTGTTGGAATCGTGTATCGATGAATTTTGTACGCGTTGAGGACTCCCATCTCGTACGTCCTCCACGAGATCAATATTCTCAGAAAAACTCAAGTTCTGCATCTCATTGTTATCGTTCGTCGTGGATCTTTGATAAGATAAGTTCTGAATGGAATTCCCGACGGAATTAATAGACCTTTCGTAAGTCAAATTTTGTGGAATTTGATTAGAATTCTCACAGATATCTATGCTCTCGTTTTCGCAAGGTATATCTATATTCTCCGTGTTGTGGGAGATGTTATGACTGATCAACTGTGTTCTGTTGGTAAAAGTGCGATTGCACAATGAACATTGTAAAGCACACGCGGCACGGCTTGGATTTTCCCCGTTCGTTGGAATCGTTTGCATCGTGTTTGGTCTAATCAAAGAAGATAATTCCGTGTGCTGAACGTTGTCGTTGGTTAGAGTGGTGCTCAACTGATTAAAATTAAAATTAAAATAAGGGTTCTGAGATTCAACTATATGCATGTGCTGCATTGGTATGTTATCTTGAACGAAAGGTACGTGCAGACGGTTGTGAGTACAGAGTTCCTGATAGCTGGTAAACACAGCCCCGCATTCTATACATTTTAAGGTTTTGTGAGAATTTTGTATCGGAACAAAACCTTGATTCTGTTGATATAATTTACATCCAGATACTGTGGTGTAGGAAGTTAGGCCAGAAACCTGGTAATGTTTGGAAGTTTGATTAGATCAGAGGTTTAAACCCAATACATTCCACGCAAAATTACCTTCAAAACAGCTTGTCTCAACGCTCTGTCCGCAGCTCGACACTGTTCTCTGTACAGTAAAGCAGATTCTGCTCTAGTTACGCAACGATCGCACATTTTTTCTGGAAGACCATCGCCTTGCCAAACCTGGTGAAGTACACGGTTTGAAGGGCAAGTATTTATTTCTGCTAAATAAGTTTTAATTCATAGAAAATATGTATTACTTCCAAACAGGAAAGAGAGCGCAATTTTGCAGCGAGAGAAGAGCCAGCCGGTCCCACGAACAAACAAACCATTTTATCACCATCTTCCCTTAAGCATGTACGGCATAGTTTGCTAATATTTTCGCTATCGATTTCTTTTGTAACGATAAACATTGTTCCCTTTTAAAAGAAATTCTTTAATAACTCGTAGGTTATAAGTTTGTTTTGACGTCTACCGTCAAAGTTTGACATGCGCTGCCTAACAAGTTGAGGGCGTCATCTAAAGTGAAAAGACAGACAGGATAATATGGTTATTCATTGCAAGATGACACCACAACTGCGTTATTTGTGGCGGATTTACATTACTCGTTGTTAAGTTACATTTCTGTTTTATCGATTAAATTGAAGTGCGCAGAGTCGCCGGGGTCCCTGACACCCCAAGATGATATTTTGTCGGCGCGCAGAGGGAGTCGCCGGGGTCCCTGATACCCCAAGATGATATTTTGTCGGTGCGCAGAGGGAGTCGCCGGGGTCCCTGATACCCCAAGATGATATTTTGTCGGTGCGCAGAGGGAGTCGCCGGGGTCTCTGATACCCCAATACGATATCAGATTAGTATGTAGAGCACTGCCCGTGCTTCGGGGTCCCTAACACCCCAGGCGATAGACCGTTGCGCCATCTATATAAAAGCGACGCAAACTATTTGTTAACTTACCGACTGTCGGAAGTTCAGTCGATAAGTCGGTAATTTGTTGAATAGGTTCCGCCGCTTTTGTATAGATGGCGCAGTGGTCGAACTTTGAAAATAATTCTAGGCGGTCTCTTCAAAATATAAGTTTGTCAAATAATTATTCTAATAATTTTTCGGTCTTGTAATTATATAAAAATTTGTATTCATTTCATGCACTTTGGTAAATAAATCATTTGAAATAAGCAACTGAGTTATTGTTTCATACTCAATTTCATTTCCGAGTTATTTATTTAATGCTTGTAATTTCTTTTCTCAGCTATTTACTATTTTATTGACTTAAATTCTTCTATCATTTTAGTTATTTAATGTACTTAACTTCAAAAGAACTGTTTAATCTTTAATAAATTACAAACATAATACACACGAAAATCAAATTTAAATCAAAACACAGTAATTTCTTCCTAATATGAGAAATTTCACCTAGCACACGGTGCGATCTCAGTCTTATAGCGACCGCCGAGGGGTGCGGATTAACCTATCAAACATACATGTACATACTTCTAATTTGCCTTCGGAGTTTATTTAATTTACTTTATTTATTTTTTCCGCTTATTAACAAGCTCATCAAAGAGAAATAAAATTTATGATTTTATCTCTCTTCTGGACCTCGACCGACCACCCTTTTATTTTTTATTTTGTCCTTCCTTGTGGACTAAAGTCCACCTTTTTCAGCTATTAATTATTTTATCCTCCTTTATGGGTCAAACCCACGCTTCCTAATTATTTATTATTTTATTTTTCTTTATGGGCCTCGCGAGGACCACCCTTCCCAGTTATTGTTTATCCTATTCCTACTCTTTATGAACCAAGGTCTCCCTTTCCAGTTATTTATTTTCTTCATTCTTTTCATGGACCTCGCAGGGACTACCCCCAAATCACTGTATCCTCGTATCCTTTGCATCCCTGCATCTCTTACATCGCAGCACTTCTTATATCTCGGCATTCCTTGTGTTCCTGTATTCCTTACATCCCGACATCCCTTACATGCCTACAATCCTTATATCCCTACATCTCTTGTATCCCTGCAACCCTTATAATAAATATATTATAAATATAATAACATATTACAAAAACTGGTTCGAATAAAGGTAAGTAAAGGTAAGTAAAGTCTCATACAAATTTAGTTCCTTTTTTTACCGCCAGAGGGCGCTGACTCGAGGTCGACATTTTAGTTCAAATTTTTGCCGCTAGAGGGCCAAAATTCCCGCAAGCTTTAGTTCTTTTTTTTGCCCCCAGAGGGCGCTGACTCGATGTCGAGATTTTAGTTCAAATTTTTGCCGCTAGAGGGCCAAAATTTCCGCAAGCTTTAGTTCTTTTTTTTGCCCCCAGAGGGCGCGGACTTGATGTCGACATTTTAGTTCAAATTTTTGCCGCCAGAGGGCCAAAATTCCAGCAGGCTTTAGTTCCTTTTCCCGAAACCAGATGGCGCTGACTCGATGTCGAGATTTTAGTTCAAATTTTTGCCGCTAGAGGGCCAAAATTTCCGCAAGCTTTAGTTCCTTTTTTTGCCCCCAGAGGGCGCTGGCTCGAGGTCGAGATTTTAGTTCAAATTTTTGCCGCTAGAGGGCCAAAATTCCCGCAAGCTTTAGTTCCTTTTCCCGAAACCAGATGGCGCTGACTCGAGGTCGAGATTTTAGTTCAAATTTGCGCCACTAGAGGGCGCTGTTACGAACGCCAAAAGCGTTATTTCAAAGATGTAAGTAATATAAGGGATATAAGTCATTGCAGATTGTAGGGAATAAAGTGATCGGTGGGATGCAGGGCTATAAGGGAAGCCGGGTTGTCAGAGGAACAGACATTTACAGGATAGGGAGATGTAAAGGACTGAAGAGTGTATGGGATATAAAGGTGTAAAACATAGAGAGATGTAAGGCATATGGGGATGTGAGCGATGCAGGGATGCAAAGGATGCAGAGATGTAAAGGTTACGGGGATGTAATGAATGCATATATGTAAGGGATGGAGAGTGGTGTAAAAGCACTTGTTATATATAAAAGATGCATGCAAAGGGAAAGAAATAAATACACACAAGTTGAATATCGGTAATTTTATTATGCAAATTCATAATTTTATTGTTAATAGTATCATGTTCTCTTTATCGTTCGCTCGCAAAAATAAAAGGTGGTGATCGTAACGATATTACAATGACGGCGAAAGAAAAGGAGGGACGGGAATGAGGAGATTAATATTAAAATTTCAATCAATTCTGGAAGCATTCGTTCAATTTCAGTCGACACTACTGGAAACGCATTATTATCCACATCGAATATATGTATCCTTCAGGCGTATACATAGTTAAACACTTCATTGATTCAATTGAGAAGATTCAAACTCCAAATAGAAAACTTCATAAAAATTATTACAAATCTCTAATCGTAACTCAGTGTCGGGATAGATTTCATATTTGCCTGACAATATTCGATGCTTGCATGCGCGTATCATTTCATCCCGAAAGAAGAATAATAAATAAAAAATTCTATCATTGGCCTTCCTCTGTCTTTACAGACATGCAACAACACAAACGTGCAGAGTACAGAATATTCATTCTTGTCATTCGTTCAGAACTAGCTACCATGTTAACCTATTTATATCTCGGCGCAGTATTCGTTCGTTTGTCTGAATAAATCGAATCTTAATGCGCTTTATATACGCTACCGTAATGCTACATTTATAATACAAGTGTCTTTTCATTTTGCGTTCATCTGTATATTCGCGCCGTTTCCATTCCTCCGACGTTCCAGGACCCTTTTATAAATTCCTGATAAGCCATCAGTACATCTAATCGGGACAATGTTTGCGCTCGCAGCATTTTAACATGATTCTACATTTATACTGTTCATTCTGTTTTGCATGAATTTCGTTCGCCATTCGCTCTCGTTATCGCTGACATCATTTGAGGCACATTAATTACGGTACAAAATAAACTCGACGATCTCGGAGATGTTCAAGTACAGTGATTGTAATCGAAGATATCCGAGACCCGTACGAGGATCCGTTGAAACAATTACGATCAGGCTGAATGGTAGAGTCGTAAAGCAGGATTGAAAATTATTGTTACTCGATTGCTGTTCGGTTTCAATAGTCTTGTTCATTATTCATTTCTTATGCTTTACATCATTCTTCTCGCTACCCTAATGCGTGCCTTACGCTTTTTCGATATTACATCAGTATTCGTGACGCTTTTTATTTTTTGAAATATATGCACATTATCGGTTAAGATTCTGAGACTACTGTTTTTGTATTCTTATCAAAGTTAATTAACCATAGCTTTCATAATTTTCCTTTACTTCTAAAAAATAAGAACTGAAATAATGAGACACCTTGTACGATCTGGTTAAATGATTATTAATCATTAAAGTGTAATCGAATGAAAGCAGTAACAAGAAATTGCTTTTGGTAAGGACAGAAATGAAATATTCCAGTCTCAAATTTTCTACCGGTAATGTATATTCGAAGCATAAATCTTTTACAAAAATTTATACCGTGCAGACGTACAATTTTGAATCTCGGAAAAAGAACTTGACCGTTTCTCTCGATTTTGTGTTCTGAAAAAAAAAAAGAAAAAGAAGAATAGTTATAAGGTACAAATGATGAAATAGAGAATAAAAACGATGACGATATTATAAGTAATGTTCTATGGCACGGTTCTTCTTAATTCGACGATGGATAGATGCATCCAAGATCGTTCTTTCTACCTAATTGCGTGTATATTAGCGAGAAGAAATGAAATGTATAATAATGATCGAAAAGAAGAAAAAAAAAATTAATAATCCTATCGCGAGTCTTGCTACTGCAAGTGTAATCCGTTTCGAATATGGTCGTTATCTCACGCAAGACAGGTAAAAAGACTCACTTCAAGACGTATTCTCTATAAAAAACGCTAAGTATGGACTAATAATATGTGATACCTTAAGAAAAATAGAGCTCCAACATTCGGCTAGTAAATTACGATGACGTTTATTATCACAACGAGACAGGTCCTGCGTGCCAAAAATTCTACTCTGCTCAACGTTCATTTTTTTTTTCTTTCTTTCTACTTTTACATCGATTCGGATTGTCCGATGCACGGATGCAGCGATGATACGACGTCGTAAGGCATTGTTAATATCTTTTTTGTTTTTTAAATAGTCAGAATGTTATTTATGCGTGAAACCTCCCGTTTCGCCTCCTCAAGCAATCGAATACAAATTGCATTTAGTTTTAATATCGTTCATTTTTTTCTTTTTTCTTTAGTTTCTCATTCGATAATAATTTGTCGTATTTTAGTCCCCGTATTACATTAATAAGAAAAATCTAACGGGAGCCCCAGGCTCTTCGTTGCATTACGTCAAGTGTTGTCGGAATAGAACGGTTCCCATACAATTTGTCTCATTCCACGAAACAAATACAAGTTTTACGTTTTATTCCGGTCACTAAACACGATCATTTTAATTCATAATCAATTAATTACATCATCTTCGACATCATATGCTATCTAGCTTACCGAACAGATCAAATCGTCATCACTGTGACTAAACCTGCATAGCAGTTAACAAAATAAACAAAATAACGCAGAGTCCCTATGATATTAATATTAATAATAGTAATAATAATAATAATAATAGCAGTAATAATATTAATTACTTATTGTAAAAAATAATTCTACGTTTTTTTGTTCGAGCACAGAACGAATTTCGCGGTTCCTTTACGTATAATATCCGTTTCAACAAACATACACATCACGATTACAACTTATCGATTATGATTTTGCAATATCTTTTTTATTCGTGCGTCTTTTTTTTCACGTCCTTTCGCAATGAGTACATAATTGCCTAAACGTTGTGTTACAAAGATACTGAGTAATAATTCTGGTTCGTTACAAAGATTATTACGTTTCATGCATTGCAGTGAAAAAATTTCATGCCCAAACATGACAAAACTTCCTTCTCTAGACGATACTGTAAGACGTGTAAACTTTGCATTGCAAAAAACGTAATAACATGTAACATGCTTCCTTTTTTTTTTTTAATTTAAAAATCCAATACATAAAATACCTAATCGATCATTTCCAATACCTAAAACTTAATGCTTAAATATTACATATCGTTCAAGTAAGAATATGATCAGTTAAAACCAATCAAAGCGCATAAGTTAAAAAATTTTCATATCACGTAGGTTTGTTTTTGGCCAAAGTGCAGATCTATCAGGGAATTGTGTGTATACTTTGTTTCTTTTTTCTTTTTATAGAAAACTATATGATTGCTTGTATCATTAAGAAACCTCGAAAGTCGTTTGATAATCTTACATCTCAAGAAATCTAACAATTTTCGTACAAGCGAAAATTGTTAACTGTAATTCTCTATCGTGTATAATTTAAGTCACCGATGTAAGCTATGTCTCGCCAAGACAATTTTTATGCTATTGTTCCATTTTTAATCGATAAGAAAATTTCAATTTTATTCACCTTGATCGCAATCGATAATCCGCGCGTATATTTCAATTCTGTTGTTCAAATTTTATCCCTCTAAATTTTGAATGTTGAAAAATTACATTCCGCTAATAAACGTACGTTACTCAGCACATTTAGTTTACATAAACTCTGCAAGCCCAGCTTACCATCGTCAAATGCACTTTTCTTAATTTCAATCTGTGTACGAAATCGCTGTTTATATGCATAAGTGTATAAGTGTTAATAAGTTATCAATAAGAAATATTAGAAAATCTGTATTTCATCTAACATTTACCAGAATTTCCGTGTACCTCTTGATTGAGTTATTTATTTTTGTTTAGAAAGCGGCAATCGGTAAATGGTGCTTTGCACCCATGCTGTTTTTTTTATATTTTTTTTATTGCTTAATGTATGCAATGCATCGATGCTAATTATTTATCCACAAGTTTTTAGCAGACGGTGAAATTTATGTCATTCCAGATTTTGACTCGTATCGGCGAATATTTGTGTTTCAACTATCATACCACGAAAGGTATACCTAGAACATATATTTTATTCGAAAACACAAAGAATAATAGGCCTATGGTTTAATATTATCCTTGATTAAATAATGATGATAAATGACTAATTCAAATTATTGAAAGCGTGATTGCTTTCTTTATAATGGTAACTGCCGGCATACTTCAACACATTTACTCGCTAGTATTATTAATTACGAAAATACTTTTACTCGAAGATCAGCGAATTTTTACGAAGAAAAAGTAATTTCGATTAATTTTGAATTAACTATCTATTGAAAGTATAACATTGTACTACATGAAAGCTTATGAAGAAAAATACTGAGTTGAGAATAAAATGGTGACGAGTTATAGCTAAATCTCATTGGCACATGCGACCACTTCCACTTTTTAATTTTACATCTTTTAGGCATTTTTTTCATGTTACAAATTAATTAATTAAATAAATGTCGGTATCACGTTTATTCATCGGTATTGCATTAACCGCATTTAGTAATTTGGTTTTGCTATCATATTTTGTTTCATAAATACCGTTCCATACACGAAAACAGCACGTTTGTAAAAGGCATTTAAAAATGAACGGTATAAAAATTTGTACGGTACAAGCAAACGGAACACATTAATATTTTGTTAAAATAGTTAATCAATAACCGCCAACACGAGTCTATTATTTGGTTGAACTATACAGTTTTTCATCAATGGACAATGATTCCACGTGCATTTTATTTGAACTAGCGGATTTTGGTAGTTTGAAGAGCTATACATATGTCTCTGCTTGCATGCATTTATATACACATAACGCGCGACAAGGTGTTACGTGCAATTCTGTATGTTTGTGTGTACATAATGTGTATGAATAATGTGAGCTGCGTGGACGGCGCTACGTACACCACTCTTCGGTCAGTCAATCATTGACACATTAGTAGTCGACTTTCGTCAGTGTAATTCAGACACCACTTGTTCCACTGGAACATTTTAGTTGAACGTGCCCTGCTCACGTCAGTATATACCGCTGAATAATCTAAAAGAGAAGCAAACAAAAAAAAATGAACACCACTATAAACATATATTTTTGCTCGAAACTTAATGCTTGCTCGCTAAACTTACTTGCATACAGATGTGCTGCTAGAGTTTGTCTTGGAATAGGAAGAGATTATTCGTAGCAGCAACAGCTACCACATTTTCTGATGGATGCCAAGCAGTATGTAATATCTTTTTATTGAAATCCAGGCAGTCGACGCTAATTTCATCTTTTTTACGTTTACCACCAGTACAGACCTTTATAATAAAGCACTTATGTTATTAATGAATGGAAAATTATTTTATATACGCTTCGAACGTTTATACCCACCTTACGCGGTTTCAAAAGTGTTTTTGGTTTGGCAATGTCACGCGCTGCTTCCAATGTGAGATCACGTTTAGTTGAACGATCGAATACTCTGAAGAAATTATTATATGAACCCGTCATAATTGCAGAATCATTACCACTCCAACAACATTCAAATTTGTCAAAGATGCAATCATTCTCATACAATGAGCATAACTTTGATCTTAGGTATTCATGTACCTGAAATAATGCAATTAATGGTTACTGGTATTATTAGGAATAAGGGAATAAATTTATATTTTAATTACATACAGGGTAACATTCAATGGGTTTTGTTTCCATTTGTAAATCCCACACTTTCACACTGAGGTAGTCTCTACTGATCATGTATCTTCCTGAATTACTAAGTTTTACGTCGCTTATACTCGAAATTATTTCAGAGAAAAAGCTTCTATTTGTTGGATCTTCTGGTTCTTCAAAGAGTTTACTGTGTTGGTCACAAAGTGCAGCAGATCTCATGTCACAGAGTCTAATTGTTCCTTTGCTACTACTATATACCAAAACGTTACACTCTGCTGGATGAAATTCCGCAGCAGTGATAACTTCGGTTAATTCCTCCATATTAGTTGGCTTAATGTCTACTATATCTGTGTACCATTTGTTAAGGAAATCATTCAAATTTACTGATACAATATAAATGTCAAATAATAAAAGTAAAACAAACATTAAATGACATATAAAAAAAGGATACTAAAACTCTGATCTGTGATCTCAAGGTGCCAAAGATTAATTCTAAGATCATCAGCACTGAGGTATGTCTCTTGATCACTGTTGACACTTATACTGTTTATATGATAGGTGTGCGCATTGGCGAATATTCTTCTTGGGGATGCTTCTACCATTAATTCCATTGGTTTTATAGTTGGTACCTAAATAATTAAACAATTAGGCACTTCAAACATGTATTTTAAAAGCCTTGTTTCATGCAATGCCTATGCAAACCATAAATAGGTTTCACTGTCACAATACCAAACTCTCAATGTTATGTGCATATTTGAACTTCTTGACCATTTCTATTGTAAGTATTTTTTGTTAGATCTACAATGGTACAAAGGACACCGTTTGTGAAGAATTTATAGTAACGAAAAAAAAATGCAATTTTAAATCATTTTATTCGCAATATTCAAATAATTCATAAACTTTTATTTTACATATAAAGCATGCAAATATTTATTAATGATACTTACCCTTAAGGAAGTAATACAAGCAGGATCACGAATTGTACCATTTTCTTCCTTTGTGTTATAACCTTCTACTCTTTTATCCCGTTCGCTAACTTTCCACAATTTGATTGTTTTATCATTTGTGGAAAGTAAAAAATGAGCAGGATTTTTTCTTTTCAGCCACCTAATTTTGTTAATTTTTTCTTCTATCTCTAATGATTTCAGGTAATCGAATTCAGGTTCATGACTTTGGAAGGTGCTGTATACATTGTATTCACCTCTCCGAGGTATACTGTTTTTACTCTACACAAATGTAAATATTTCTTTATTATTTTAAGATTTCATGAAACATCATTTATTTCTTTTGCTTAAACTTATCACAACTACTTGAAAAATTTAATGAAAAATAAGTAAAAATCTTTATTCCTTTCATTGTTTCAATGATTATCTTTAGAAATTTTCTAAAGATAGGAAAATGTAACATACAGTTGGCAATAATCCAATACTAACATATAAACATAATTTTTATTTAAAGGATGAGCTTTTCTTTATTAAGAATGCAAGAATTAACACATTCAGATAAATATAAATAGTAATAATGTTACAAAATTGTTTCAACTTACAATGGGGTCTCTTTGAAAAATAACAACCCGTCCACCTTTATCTCCTGTTGCAAGAAGATCGCCATCATGGTTAAATTCAACACATGAGATTATATCAGCTAGAATCAAAAGAGAAAATGGAAGAAACAATTCAATTACTCTAAACAAAAATGATTGAATTATTCTATGAATTCAAACATACTTTAACGAGTGTATAATTACTGAATAACAGCACTTGTTTCCCTCAGTTTAGTAAATGCTAACTGATAAGATAACATTCTCAACGAATATAAGTAAACTTTAAATTGGAATTACCTTCTGTGACATCGTCTTCCAATGTTCCTTTCACTTGTGAGAAACACCATTGTATGTCGCCATTGCCTGAAACAAAAATATGCAAACACTGTACACAGAGAAATTTATTTAAAATCTGAACAAATTGAGAATTTGTAAGAACACTGTAAAATCTTTAGGTGAACAGTGGAAAACTTCATTACCCTGAGTAATATATGGAATCAGATTTAATGTTCACTTTTTAAACTAGTAACATGTTTATACATAACTGTTATTACAAAACAGATCGAAAACCGATAATGCTTATCGCATGAATTATATCACGGGTTTTTACTCCGAAATAGATACATGTATAATGGAAATATGGTGATATGGAGGTTTGCTCCAAAACCGAACGCGGTGTTTTCGCTCGATCGACTGCACGCATGAAACACGCACAATCGAATGAAAAACAAGAAAAGCGGTAGAAATCGATAAGGACAACGAGGCGAAAGGAAGAAACAGGGACGAATACGAGAATGCACCTGCAAAGCATGATAAAGTAAACCTGTAAAGATGAGTGCCGATAAAATCCCGATAAAAGAAAATCATTTTTTAATACAAAGAGCTATGGAAAAGCGTTCGACGGGGCGAAACTATGCGGACAGTTGAAACAATAAAGCAGCAAAAGAAAGTGAAAAAACAGATCGGAAAAAAGGTAAAAGTAAGCCTACTTGAAGTTTCGGCGCAATCCATCGTGCTTCTAGGCCGTCGCCACCGCCGCCGCCGTTGCCGTCGCCGTCGCCGGCGACGGGCGCATTTGGCCCCGCGCACGGCAAGAATCCAGAGAGTGGGTACGGGTGATTATATTTGAGGATGCGGAATTGACGAAGAAGAACGTTGCGTGTACTGTGAGCGCTGCGGATATACCCGTGAACCCGTGATAGTATCTGGGTCAAGGTTCAGGTTACCGCGGCGCGGCGAGGCGGCCAGCAGGAGCGACGCACTGTTCGGTTTACGGCGTGCGGTAGAAATTATACGGCGACCACGCAGAATACACTACCGTCCACGACGTTTACTTACCGGCCATCTCGCATACGAGACACTACGCAACCAGAGAGATTCGCACGCGAGCTTAATCCCGGTGCGAGCTCCAATACCACCTACTCGACCAGAGATACACGCGCGCGGCGCGCCACGCCGGCGACCAGGAACCAGGGGATACCTTCACGCTTATTTACAACACTTCGTGTAACCTTTTATCCTGTCACATATTCGTCCGTCTAGTCCGCCACTGTTCTGAACGCGATCACCAACTTTCAATGGCGGAATTCACGAACGCATAACCACACAACACTACTATGGCGTGACGTCACACCGCAGCCAGGTTTCGCTACTTCCACGGTAATCGCCATCTTGTGTGCGAAAACCGATTGCACCCGAAATGCAACGAAAATTACCGAACATGGCCGACCGAACAGTGCCATCTACAGTGCGGAAAATTTAAACGGCAACTTGAAACCACCTATTCAACGTTCTTCGATAAATCATTATTTCAATTCTTTTATAAGTTTATATAAATGTTATATATTTGTTCAGTAATTATAAATTAAGTTTTTCTTTCCATCTGCGCTATTTGTTCGTACTAGAATAAGACTTTTTTGTAAAGAAGAAAATAAAGTAACTCGTCCGAAAAACACTATTTATTATAAATCAATCTAAACTATTTATGGGATTATATTAAAGGAAAGATTACCTAAAAGTTCTGTTAGTTTCTCATGCAATTCCTCCAAAGAGGAAAACATAGGCACGTTCTTAGAGAAGCGTGAAAAATTCTTGCCTGAATGAAAGTCTGTCATCAAGCGATCCATTTTTAGCAGAACTAGAATTACTTGGATGTGAAAAGAATTTTCTTCCTTTCAACTTCAACCGTGAAAACTCAACGAACATTAAAATTACTTGGATCACGTGTCCTCAAGATCGAAACCCGTCATACATTCTCACCGCATTCAGAAGCAGAAAAGTCATTGTGTTTTATTTTAACAAATCTCATCCTTGATAAGGTCGTAACGTCCGGCCTGCATTGAATATTAATATGCTTTTTCTCTATTCGTAGATCGATCGTTGGCTATTATACGCTCAACGTTTTACGAGCGTATTTCCTTTGCAGTTACAAAAAACTAAGAAAAATTATCCTCCGCTTTATGATTCGAAGCGAAATAATAAAATGTACGAACGAAGAAGCAAAGAGAGGACATTTTTGGGCGTTGTTTCGAACCGTCACTCCAAAGCATAGAATTTAAATTCTAATCACGGCGTACTCGCCACAGGAAGAGACAAGCTTTCTATATGTTTGAAAGCCGTGGCTGGTTTTACGAGAAATTTTGTAAAATATATATGCTGGAATTGAAAGGACCTTGATAACGCGGATCGTACGTCTTTCAATTTTTAGTTACTATTAACTTAAAAATGCGATAACGCTTATCTGTTACATCAACAAGTCAGGTGTTAAAAACGCGTCACGTTATTTCGTTTGTTTGAACAATCAATTCAGACTGGAACAGATTAAACAAATAAACGAAGACGAGTGTTGTTTTATACGATGCTAGCACGTTTGCGAATAAAACGACCTATGAGACTGTCTCGAAGTGGTACGAAAGTGCATCAGCTCTCGTAACGACACACGAAACACTGGTTGTCGAACGTGTTAGATGGAGGATGTTAATGAGTTTGCACTAACAAGCGTGTAGAGCCGGTGCAACGTTTACCTCGACTCGACTCGACTCGACATGTTTGCCGAGAGTTGACTGTATTTTTCGAAAAGTACAAACAGAAAAACAACGTCGAAGAAGTTACGTGCTCCTCTAGACAAAAGATTCGATCGTAACAGTTTAAAATCGATCAACGTTCCAGTTTTCAAAAATCATCACCGTGTTCGTTAAGAAATTTGATTGTGTTTCTCTAGTACTTACAAAGATAATGATCGTAGCTTTTCTCGATCGCGCTTTTCTCAGTGTTCGTGTTCGTTTCACGAATGAAACTCCTGTCCAAATCGATGGAGTGCCTCCTGATCTTGGTTCGGCTTCGGGAATTCATCATCGGATGACGGTTCTTGGAAACCGTTTTCTCACACGATACCGGCTACGATCGCGACAACATACTGTTATTGCCACGTGACATCGAGCCCCGTCGAGTTTACCAACTGAACGTTAAACGTAAACGATTCTTGACTCGTTTCCTGCCTACGTATTTGCGCGCAAAAACATCAAACTACGACACGGTTAACGTTCCCCCGATGTCAACCGATGTTTGGCTGTAAAAGTTTTTACGACCTCCTATGCCTTTTCGTGCCTCGAATGTACGATAGAATGTATAATTTACAGTTTGTTTCGAGTATTAACTGTATTCCTGTTCGCGTAGCGAGGGATTCGACATACCCCTGTAGACCGGCAACCCGCTTTACTTGCGCGTACGACAGGTGGCTAGTTCCAGGCGCAGAGTTATAATTGATTATTTTTTTTAAATATTGAAATTGTAAGTGTAAAATATTTAACATACTGCTACTCCCTGAATGTAGAAATAAATCAAAATGAATTTAATAGATTATTACGTATCAAATGCCCGATTTCGAAAGCTAGAAAGTTTAACACGATTTCATGACATAAAAGAAACGCGAAATAGCACTTACAGCATACCAATTTGAAGCTTAAAGTTGAACAAAACCGTAGCAATAAGAGAAAACAGAATAGGAAGAGAAAGGGAAAGGTAAAGAAAGTAGTACTCACCGACTCTCTTGTTCACAGCGGTATTGATCATGGAACCAAGCTTGGTGAGGCTAGACTGCCTCATGATGTTGGAGGGGCTCTTCATCCGTTTGGACGGTGGTACCGGAAGCGGGGCGGTCTTGGACCTTGCCAGAATGCCACCGTTTCGGCAGTTTCCGTTCGGATTGGAGCCGGGGGGCCGCTGGGGCGGAGCCCCCCATAGACCCACCACCCCTGCGTGACGCGTGGTGCTACTTCACCAATTTCAACCCTTATCCACCTGTTAGTCTCCCAGTAATTTTTAACTTCAACCTCCACCTTGCTTCGTCACCACTGGAACAATAAAATCATCAACAACCCCGTTATTTACCTCTAGTTTTCCACAATAAAAAATTTAATTATCTCACGATCGTTATCTATATTATCGATAACGTTCGTTATCTCCCTGTTCCCATTCAATGTTTTCCACCTGTTGGATCGTTGGTCCAAGCAGCAGCTATAAAAACCCTCTTCGCGATATGCTTCGTAGCATCTGGAGAACCCGGAAGAGTATGCTTGCAAATAAAGATCAGCTTTTGTATACGACGGCTTTCAATCTCGATTTAAGCGTGGCATCGCGTAAACGTGGGGTGCAACGGAGTCAACGCTGTCAATTGAAAGACGACCACGTGAATGCGTTTCTCTTTAGTGCAGGTGCACGACCATTTGTCGCGCAAATGCATAAATATGAACGACGAACGGAAAGGAAAGAAGGCAACAGGTAGTGAAACGTACAAATTCATCCAGGTGTACCGAGTACGGGAAAGGGTGCATACACTTGACTTTGCAAATTAACCAAGTGTACGAGTGAATCCCGGAAAGTTCCGATAAATCTTCTTTAATTTTAAAGCGAAGGAAACTTATCTTGAGCGTTTTCTCTTTCTGCCAGAACTCTCGAGTACCGCGGACTCTCTAGGCAAGGAGGCTCGATTTAATTTATGCCTGGCAGGCGTACTTGGACCGCGAAGAGTTAACACCTATGGCAAACGCAAAGAATGCTCGAAAACAAACAGCAGGTAGTTGGTGCGAAAACCTCGAGTACGACCTTGTTGAAGAAGAACGGAGACGTAGGTACGCGAAGAGATGAGCTTACGAGATAGAACGCGTGCAACTGATTAGCTGACCTCGGATAACCGACGGAGCCAGTATCAACCTCCGCATTTACCGTTCAAATTACCATTACACCAGTCTCCTGCGTCACGCAGTCCATTAATTCGACGGATGGGATCTCTCGTAGCGATCTCGCGAGGGGAAATTGAAATTTGGTTAAAGCCAGCTACCCATCGATTTACTACCCGTCAAATTTGCGCCGTGCTCTTCGACAAGAAACTACCCCCTTAGCGAACTGTCTCGCGTGAAACGTTGCGATATCAATTCTTCTTTTTTTTAGTAAATGAGAAGCTTAGAATGAAATTGAAAATCCAGGCGTTTGCAAACGAATTCGAACAAATGAAACTAAACGTGTTCTGGTGTCATTACGGAGGCTACCGATCGCTTTGTTACGTGACATTTCCAACAACGACGACACGAGTGCAACAGCGAAGTAACACGTGCCCAGCAAACGATCCACGTATCGTTCGTATAAACTACAACATAATCGGATTATATTCTGCGAAGCTGCTGCAACACACGGTCATCAGTGCCATCGATTGTACCTGCGTACATATTTACCGTGACTCAAGTTTGCAACGTTGAGTTTATTCGCGTGGTCGTAGTCATTTACCATACGATAATGCTGTCTGTTTGAGAGTCGGTGACGCACTAGGTAATACCTTTGTTTATCACCAGCGAATTCTTTTTGTTAACCCGTTCATTGTCACAGTTTAATTTGATTTGCGTTACATTTCAGCTGATACGCGAACGTACACGGAGTTTCGATTGAGATGCACTGGGATGGAATGAACGAACCTTCAGGAACGAAGCAAGGTTAAATCTTTACCGCTAATCACTACTGCCGGTTAATCTTGCAATTTAAAGCTCGCTTAAGGTCACCGAGCTAATCGCCGAGTGGATCAAATTCTCAAACTAAACGATCTTCTCGGTTTTCTACATCCGTCGCTGGGTCCGATTCTTTCAGGCGCGAAAAGAAGACAGAATTTGTTTTCCAAACGGTGAAAGTTTCTTTCGGCACGTTCTGAGAGAATGTTTCGCCAGTATGGATTTGCGAAGACGAGTTAAAGAGGGTGGTCGTGGACGGCGGGTAGTTTGTTAAACCAGGGAGATGATGGCAGGAGGTCCCTGGCGTCTAGCCAGACCATTTCCCGACTGCTTCTTCAGCTCCAAATTCGTTCCTTTTGCGTACGAACACGCAGCATCCCCGAGTTCGATGCACCCCCGTTTAGTCGTCTCTTCCAGACGATAACGATCGAACCTCCCCGACTACGTCCAAATTTTTCATCCAGACGTTTAGCTTGGCTAGATTCTATTGTACCGCGAGTACTATAAGTACTCCGCGAGTACTTATTAATTGCATCGCGATGGATAATCGAACGACAGTTGAAGCGTATAGGAATCAAAGCTGCAAACACAAAAGACACTCGAACAGGCTGCACTCGATCACTCGAGCGCGACGAAAAAGAATTCCTCTTTTTTTTTTTCACAGCTGGAAAACCGTCACGATCAATAACCGTGCATGTAGAGAGTTTAACCTTTCACTCGGCACCTTTAATTATCGCACTCGACGAGATGTAATCCCAAAGCATTTGTCGAAAGCACGATCAATCAATTATTTTCAATCGTTTTATTTTCTCCATCGTTGTTTCAGAAGAGAGAAATAAATGATCCCAAGTTTGATACTTATTTTATTTTCCACTCCAA